TTGTAACTATTCTGTCCTGTAGTTTACAAGAGGATAAATGTTCCTCTTTCATCAGTCTGTGTGTCATTGTAACTATTCTGTCCTGTAGTTTACAAGAGGATAAATTTCCTCTTCATCAGTCTGTGTGTCATTGTGTCCAGTTTACAAGAGGATAAGAATTTCCTCTTCATCAGTCTGTGTGTCATTGTATTCTGTCCTGTAGTTTACAAGAGGATAAATTTCCTCTTCATCAGTCTGTGTGTCATTGTAACTATTCTGTCCTGTAGTTTACAAGAGGGTAAATTTCCTCTTTGTCAGTCTGTATGTCATTGTAACTGTTCTTTCCTGTAGTTTACAAGAGGATAAGTTTCCTCTTCATCAGTCTGTGTGTCATTGTAACTATTCTGTCCTGTAGTTTACAAGAGGATAAATTTCCTCTTCGTCAGTCTGTGTGTCATTGTAACTATTCTGTCCTGTAGTTTACAAGAGGATAAATTTCCTCTTCAACAGTCTGTGTGTCATTGTAACTATTCTGTCCTGTAGTTTACAAGAGGATAAATTTTCTCTTTGTCAGTCTGTGTGTCATTGTAACTATTCTGTCCTGTAGTTTACAAGAGGATAAATTTCCTCTTCATCAGTCTGTGTGTCATTGAAACTATTCTGTCCTGTAGTTTACAAGAGGATAAATTTCCTCTTCAACAGTCTGTGTGTCATTGTAACTATTCTGTCCTGTAGTTTACAAGAGGATAAATTTTCTCTTTGTCAGTCTGTGTGTCATTGTAACTATTCTGTCCTGTAGTTTACAAGAGGATAAATTTCCTCTTCATCAGTCTGTGTGTCATTGTAACTGTTCTTTCCTGAAGTTTACAAGAGGATAAAGAATTTCCTCTTCATCAATCTGTGTGTCATTGTAACTATTCTGTCCTGTAGTTTACAAGAGGATAAATTTCCTCTTCATCAGTCTGTGTGTCATTGTAACTATTCTGTCCTGTAGTTTACAAGAGGATAAGTTTCCTCTTCATCAGTCTGTGTGTCATTGTAACTATTCTGTCCTGTAGTTTAAAAGAGGATAAATTTCCTCTTCGTCAGTCTGTGTGTCATTGTAACTATTCTGTCCTGTAGTTTACAAGAGGATAAATTTCCTCTTTGTCAGTCTGTGTGTCATTGTAACTGTTCTTTCCTGTAGTTTACAAGAGGATAAGTTTCCTCTTCATCAGTCTGTGTGTCATTGTAACTATTCTGTCCTGTAGTTTACAAGAGGATAAATTTCCTCTTCGTCAGTCTGTGTGTCATTGTAACTATTCTGTCCTGTAGTTTACAAGAGGATAAATTTCCTCTTCGTCAGTCTGTGTGTCATTGTAACTGTTCTTTCCTGTAGTTTACAAGAGGATAAGTTTCCTCTTCATCAGTCTGTGTGTCATTGTAACTATTCTGTCCTGCAGTTTACAAGAGGATAGATTCTCTCTTTATCAGTCTGTGTGTCTTTGTAACTATTCTGTTCTACAGTTTAAAAGAGGATAGATTCTCTGTTCATCAGTCTGTGTGTCATTGTAACTGTTCTTTCCTGAAGTTTACAAGAGGATAAATTTCCTCTTCATCAGTTTGTGTGTCATTGTAACTATTCTGTCCTGTAGTTTACAAGAGGATAAATTTCCTCTTCATCAGTCTGTGTGTCATTGTAACTATTCTGTCCTGTAGTTTACAAGAGGGTAAATTTCCTCTTTGTCAGTCATGAAAAGCTCTGAGAAATAGCTCAAGAATAGATGCCATAGATTGCACTAATTTGGAGTTTAGTACATGAAAAAAAAGTGTGTATGTAAAAGATTTTTATTGAAAAACTGAAAAAGTGTTGAAACTTATAAGATTTAGATATTTATATATAAAGATCAAGGGCCACTTAGGGTTTTTATTTTTCCAAAAAATTATAACTGCTCAAATTTGGTTGAAAATGCAGTATTTTTCACTTGCATGGACCCAAGGTGACCATGTATCTGTTGAATGTGACATAATTTTCTATCTAGTCAATGTATTGTCATGAAATGCATCATTTTACCACATCCTGTAAAATCCTTTAAAATTCCAAAAGTTGAAGTATTTATTTAACATTTGTTTTAGAACACATTTAGCTACATGTAGCAGACTCATTTGTTACCAAGCTATGAGTGGACTGTTTTGTTGATCCCTGAGTACGCTATTTCTCTTGTTTTGGGGGGCATCAGTTTATTCTAGATAAATTGTTTAGATTTCTAGATAAATTGCTTTCTATGAACCCTGTGACGTGTTGTATTATACTCACTACAGGTAACTTTTAAAGTCTATAGGTGCCTTGTTAGAGAAAACCTTCAAATGCATGTCAAAAAGCTGTCTTAGTAAAATTATTTATTAATGATAATTGTTTAAAAAAAAGTAAAAATTAAATGTAAACTAAGCCAAATTAAACAAATTCAAGTTGTGATCTTTGATTCCCTGGTGCCACGAATTGTTAGTGAAATAATAAACATTCAGTGGGGCAATGCTTGATTTCCCAGAAGTCCTTGTGTAGGAAATGATTTAACTGACACAAATGATTATTCTCAATGAAATATTCTTTTGATATTAAGTTGTATACAGATAAATATTTTCATGGTGGTGATTCAAGGTTATATGTGATCAAGGTTATCATTCATTATAGTTTTATCTCTGGAAAAAAAAGTTGCATGCCTAAAAGAAAGTTTGATCATCAATAAAGATAGGTTATTAGTTACAAACAATGATCTATTTTTTGCACAATATGGGGTTTTCCCATCAGATTTGATGCAGTAATCATATGAAGTATGATTAAAAAGAATTCATGTTATGTAAATATTGATATGGAAGGTGTTGTATTGTTTGTATATGAGAGACGGCTCTCGAGTAGGCTGCTAGGAGGTGTACATTGCTAGCTGAAGAGATGATAAGCCTTTTATCACAGGATTTCTATCAGCTTTTATCTTTGTATTTGTTTCACTTTGTTAATTCATTTTATTTCCGCTTCCCCCTCTTCTCTTTGTAAATTAGTAGTCCTGTTAATGTACTGATATTATGTAAACATTATGACTTTTAATACAACAATGTCAGATACCACTGTTTAAAAATAAAAAAAGAGATACACAACTTTGTATGACCTATTGAATTTATTTAAGGTACATTGATACTCTGATAAGAGAGTTAACTCTTAATGACATGAATGTCTATTATTCCTTTATAAATTTGCCAAATTGAAGTGTCTTTTTTGTCAAATTTTGCCCCGCAAGCCATGCTATAATTGTTTGAATTTTACTTAGAAAATATATCTACTTTGGAAAATTATAAGAGTTAAAGAAACATTTTATATGAGGGAGCAGAGGGTTTATGAACCTTAATTTCACTTTGTATTTTCTCTACCAGGAGAGCCCTCCATTGTTGAAGGTGGCAGCCATGACTGGACTGATGGCCTTGATTGGCTCTCAGAAAGCCCTCACATCGGTAAATACTCATATAATTCATAGTTATATATTGAATATTAAAATCTAGGCATTTAAAGAAAAAATTAAATACAGTCAAACCTCCTTATCTGGAACTCAATGAGGCCGATAAAAAAACTTCGAGATATACAAGGATTCGAGAAATGATCCAGGGTAAAAAAAAATTTAAGAATACGGGTTGGGACTTTCAAATGATTTTGACATATCCATGTATTTGAGATATCATTGTTTTCAAGGTACTAAATTTCAACTGTACAAATTAAGGTCAGATGATACCTTCCCCAAATTTCTGTTTTGTATATCTTCATAATCTATGAAAAATATACAAAAATTTAATTACTTTCTGATTTCTAAATTTGTTTCTAATTGTTTTTTAATATTTGAAACACTAAAAATGTGATTTTGGCAAACTAAGTTTTTTCTTCCTAAAGGATTATATAAGAAATGCCATCATCTGGTATCTCGCACAAATGCCTGGTAAGGTACTTCAATTTTTTGTGAGTAAACATGTTAAAGTAGTAATTCTTTAATGACAAAATCTTAGAAAAAATTATATATCATGAGGAACGTCTTGTCTGTCCTTAAGAGGATCTAACAATTTTCTTTTTTACATGACTGATTTTTTCCCCTTATTTGTAATTAATTACTACTCTAGGTGCCTATCTGACATTTCTGTGATTTCACTAATATTTATGGATCAGTTTAATTTCCTTTGCTTTCAAAGTACAAATTTAAAGATTTTTAATATATTTTATAACATAAAATTTCATATATATAACATCAGCTCTTCTTCACTTACAAAAACAAATCCCCATGTACCAATAATTTTTCCTTGTACCTTTAAGTTTGACCCATAAAAATGTGTTTACATGTAGAATTGTTTTTATGATTGCTCTCTATTTTAAAGGCGACTTATTTTTTTCTCACCTGTCTTGCTTGAAGCACAGCTTCTAGGAGGTCTCTCCATCTGTCCGTCTCTCAGTCTGTTATTCTTTCTGAGTATTACATATCAAATTTTGAATGATATATTTATCCAAAAGTCATGTCTTTGCAATGAAATTTTATTTTATAACTTCCTCCGACTTAGAGAAGACTCTCTTTGATTTTGAGGTCAAAGATAAAGATAAAAAAATTCATATATCATATCAAAGATAACTTAAGTTCCTCTTGAGTTTTGAATATCAATTGAATAGGACTCGTATTCTGATTTGGGGGCGAAAGGGTCTAAGATCAAGGTCAGGAACTTTTATATCTCAGAAAAATTTTTCCAGATGACAAATTAAGATTGCATTAAATCTTAATGTGGTTGATCTCTCTAGATTAAGAAAGATATTCTCATTAATCATTAGGTCAAATGGTGAAATGTCAAGGTCAATCCCTCTTTGCATGCATTCTCAGTCTACAGGTTTTATGTCTTTTTCTCTCACATTTGTTTTGTATTTAAAAGGGAAACGGGAATTTAGTGAATTATAGCTGGTTATACACTGAAATTTATCTTTTTTTAGAGCACAGAGCCTTTGTCTATGGCTTTGGGTGATGTGAATGTTGATGAAGTAATCCAGGTGATGACACAGGTCGTTTCTGTGGGAGATGACATTGGCATCCAGAACTCAGCAGCATGGATGTTAGGGAACCATTATCTGTCTGTTTCCTCAGTATCAGAGACCAGAACCAGTGGTATGTCATTAATTATATCAGAGACCAGAACCAGTGGTATGTCATTAATTATATCAGAAACCAGAACCAGTGGTATGTCATTAATTATATCAGAAACCAGAACCAGTGGTATGTCATTAATTATATCAGAAACCAGAACCAGTGGTATGTCATTAATTATATCAGAAACCAGAACCAGTGGTATGTCATTAATTATATCAGAAACCAGAACCAGTGGTATGTCCTTATTTATGCCCTGTTCACACGACGAGTTTAATTCGCAGTAAATTAATGCGAAGTAAACTAATGCGAATCAAATTAATGTGAATTAAATTGCGTTCACACGACAGCTAATGCGAAGTAAACTAATGTGAATTAACATTTTTTCTTCTACAGTCAGGCGTCAGTAAGTCATTATGACGTCATTTGTAAATCACGTCATGTATGCAGAGCCATCCTTTGATACATCATGTAGTGGCTACAGGTATCAGGGTTCGAAATTAGCGAGAAATACTCGCAAAATGCGAGTTGATTTTTAAAACAGCGAGTAAAAATAGAAGACACTCGAAATTTTTAGCGAGTGGTGATTTTTGACTCAAATACTTTCGTATCCATATTTTTCTGGTAATTTGTCTTGCTTTTTGAAATTTGAACAGAGTCGCAATGCATTCGGTAAACCTTGGTTGATTGTGTTACCAAATCTCAATCAGCTGATGCAATTTATACAAAAATGTTTCATTGTAGTTTTATTTGACATATAAAATGTGTCAACCTAGTCAAAATTTACCTTAGGTAAAAGAGGAATCATTATTTATAACATCAAATAATTTCTTCCATAACTTTCTGAAGTTCGTTTTCTGCAGCTAGAAAGCCATGTTAGGTGCCCGCTGTAAATATCACACCTGGTTAATTAAGTCCGGGATGTTTGACTCCATTATTCAGTAGCACAAAATCCCAACCTACCGACCCTTGATCATATTGATTTTTTTTTTTTGGAATGTTAAAAGGAATAAATATATTTTAATGTTATTTTTTTAAAGGCCAGATTACCTTTTTTTTTAATGTAAAAACATTGATGATCTTAATTCTGTACTGACCCACTAGAGAAGGCCCTGTATTATTATTGATTTGAATGAGCATGAAAAAGACATTTAATCCTTCTTTTAATTTTAGCTAGTGGATCTTCATTTTAGCCTGTAGATTTTATATGTACAGGCTAAAATTAGCCTGTGGATAAAAAAGTTAATTTCGATCCCTGGGTATTCGTTGATTTTAGTGATTAACATACTTTCCCTCAATTTTTGAACCAAATATAGCACAAATACCTATATATAACCACCAACACGTGTCCTGTGACTTAATTCTGGCCTTACACATGCGTCAAAATTTAATTCGAATTAGCTTCGCTTAGCGTTCACACGGAGCTAATGCGAAGTAATTTAATGCACAGTAAATTAATTCGAATTAAACTAATTCGCATTAAATTCTCCGTGTGAACGCTTAGCGAAGCTAATTCGCAGTAAACTTACGTTTAATTCGAATTAAACTCTCCGTGTGAACAGGGCATTATATCAGAGTCCGAAACCAGTGGTATGTCATTATTTATATCAGAGACCAGAGAACCAGGGGTATGTACTTAATCATATCAGAGACCAGAACCAGTGGTATGTCATTGTCTTTTTCCAGAAATCAAAATCAGTGGTATGTCATTATAATTTGTATCAAAGTCCAGAACCAGTAGTATATGTCATTATTTATATCAGAGATCAGAACCAGGGGGTGTGTTATTGTTTATATTGGAGACCAGAACCAGGGATATGTTATTATTTGAATCAGAAAACAGAGCCAGGGTGTGTGTTATTATTTATATCAGAGAACATAACCAGGGATATGTTATTATTTATATCAGAGATCAGAACCAGGGGGTGTGTTATTATTTGAATCAGAGAACAGAACCAGGGAGTGTGTTATTATTTATATCATAGAACATAACCAGGGGGTGTGTTATTATCTTTATCAGAGAACATAACCAGGGATATGTTATTATTTGTATCAGAGAACATAACCAGGGATATGTTATTATTTATGTCAGAAATCAGAACCAGTGGTATGTCATTATGCTTCATGTGTTTCTCTGTCTGATTATTGATATACTACCATATTCAGACTGAAAACATCTTAAAAATTGGTAGGTGATGTTTATCAAAATTTTTACAAGAACGAATCATATAACTTTACAGCGATTATTTTAAGCATACAAGTATAAGCTGTATGAAATGAAAGATGTAATTGTTCTGTTCTATTAGTTCCCACCAGCCTGGGTTACCTGCCAGATTCAAGTCTGTTGAGGGCAGTAGTAGATTTCCTCATCGATGCGGGCAAGAGAGGTAAATGTTTAACAATAATCCATGTACTGTGTGATTGATGTAATTAATGTGAAACTCAAAATTCTGTATAATCAAGTCACAGATTATTGACCATATTTAATAATGAGGACAGGAACAATCTCTGCATGGACTTCATCTGATGAGGAGTGCTTCTTTCACCCTAAGACTCAAATTCATCAATTTCATCTATACAACTGATAACAGTAGACGTCAGTAGTAAATGTTTTCCCCAGTAACTGAAATGGTTTTCTGACATCTCAATAGATTGAAAGTTAACTTGGATTATTTGTAGGTCCAGAGGCTGTCCCACACTCCCAGGTAGAGTGCTGCCTCAGAAGTCTGCTGGAGAAGGTGAGGCAGAGTCTGCCCCCGCTAAACTGGGCAGGGGTCCTCACCCCACTGATGAGGCTGAACTTCAGTAAGTATGTCACAAGAGTCTGCCCCTGGTAAACTGGGCCGGGGTCCTCACCCCTCTGATGAGGCTGAACTTCAGTAAGTATGTCACAGAGTCTGCCTCCGGTAAACTGGGCTGGGGTCCTCACCCCACTGATAAGGCTGGATTTCAGTAAGTATGTCACAGAGTCTGCCCCCGGTAAACTGGGCGGGGGTCCTCGCCCCTCTGATGAGGCTGAACTTCAGTAAGTATGTCACAGAGTCTGCCCCCGGTAAACTGGGCGGGGGTCCTCACCCCTCTGATGAGGCTGAATTTCAGTAAGTATGTCACAGAGTCTGTCCCCGGTAAACTGGGCTGGGGTCCTCACCCCTCTGATGAGGCTGAACTTCAGTAAGTATGTCACATGTGATCCACTGTTTATTTTTTATTTCATTTCAGCCCAAGTTTGGTTTGGTGGTTTATTGCAAATTTAAGTCTGGGAGAAAAAAAAATCTTGGAGAAGGGGACTGAACTATTAATCTTGTTTCATAAGCAATTCTTCCTAAAACAAGGCTTAAAGCTAAACATGATGCAATAAATAGCCATATTAGTTTTCTTATCTCCCACATCAGCACTGGGATATATAAACCTTTCATAATCATCATGCTTGGCTGCTTTTACTTGGTCGCTGCTGCTAGTAATACTTGTAGATCATACATTGTCTTCTTCTTTTATTTAATTGAAAGTTTATTAGCATTTATTTCAATTTGAAATGCATTAATATTAAATTGATATAAAATATCTTAAATAATTTTTTTCACTGATGTGGTAGAGGCATAGAGAAGTCAATTTTGTCACATGAAGTCTATAATAATCACAATGAATAGACATCTGTTCAGGTAAAATCCATGAAGCAAAATGTATTAAACTCTGAATAAAGCTGAGGCTTATATAGACACTGGAAAAGGACAGTCTTGAGAATACTAATATGGTGGACAGAGATAATTCTCTTTCTTTATAAATCAAGTTTAGCTTGAAGGTTCTTTGATACTCTAATTAGATAGATAGCTCTTAAAATATGTAATATTTTTTTATTCCTTTAAAGATTTGTAATATAAAAATGTCTTTATTGTACAGTTTTGTCCTGCAAGCTATGCAAAAAATGTCTCTATTTTACTTTTAAAATAACATTTCTTTTGGAAATTCATAAGCATTAAAGCTACACTTTATATGAACCTTAAGGATGTATAATAGTGAGGGAGATAACTCTTACAATTTTGATTAATGTTCTGTAGATGATGAAGTTGGAAGATTGTGTCTCCATGTCGCCATTTCTCAGAGTTCCTCCTCGCCGACAGCAGCCCTGCTGGTCAGCTCCTGGGGGACACCACCCCTCGTTCATTCTCTCAGTGTAAGTCTTGGAGTGACTTTGATGTTTAACTGCACACTATGTAAATACCGGTAAATGAGAAAATTAATTTATGAAATTAATTGCTTTTGAAATGCAATTTGTAACTGATATCAAGTAGAGCATTTATGAAATCCAAAGAAAGAAAAAGTGCAGTCTCAAGGAAAAAATCATAAACTAAGAAATTGTTATATGAAGGCATCAAAAGAAAAACTATGACCCGAATTGTTTTTTGTCTAAAACTATTTTAAATTATTGAAAGTTGCCTGCATTTGATTAAATTTGCTTTGTATTAAATATTCCTACAACATTGGAAAGTAAACTTGATTAAAATGATGAAGAATACCTTTCTATTATACTTGCTCTTTTTGTGTCAGGTCACTTCCCGTTGTCTTCTTTATGATGAGTTACCTGTTCTTGTCACATCTCTGTCTCCTGCGACCTTGACCTCTGTCCTTGACATGATGCAGCAGGAATTGGGAAATCCATATCTCCATGGTTTGTTTGGACTCCACAGGGCTTTGAAAGTCAGCAACCTCCCCAAAGCAGTGACAGAAATACTCCTACAATGTCTGGAAGCTGTGTACAGGAAAACAAAAGCTCGGCAGACTGATGTGAGTGGGATTATAATGTGGGTTTTTTTTGGTTTTTAGCTCACCTGAGCCAAAGGCTCAAGTGAGCTTTTCAGATCAAAATTTGTCTGTTGTCTGTCGTTGTCGTCGTCGTCGTTGTCGTCGTAGTCGTCGTTGTCGTAAACTTTTCACATTTTCATCTTCTTCTCAAGAACCACTGGGCCAATTTCAACCAAACTTGCTACAAAGTATCCTCATGTGGAATCATCCTCAGATAGTGTAGATTCAAACTTGTTCAAATCATGACCCCCAGGGGTAGGGTGGGGCCAAAATGGCCGATCAAAGTTTTACATAGGAATATATAGGAAAAATCTTTAAAAATCTTCTTCTCAAGAACCACTGGGCCAGGAAAGATGAAACTCATGTGGAATCATCCTCAGGCAGCGTAGATTCAAGTTTGTTCAAATCATGACCCCCAGGGGTAGGGTGGGGCCAAAATGGCCGATCAAAGTTTTACATAGGAATATATAGGAAAAATCTTTAAAAATCTTCTTCTCAAGAACCACTGGCGCAGGAAAGATGAAACACATGTGGAATCATCCTCAGGTAGTGTAGATTCAAGTTTGTTCAAATCATGACCCCCAGGGGTAGGGTGGGGCCAAAATGGCCGATCAAAGTTTTACATAAGAATATATAGGAAAAATCTTTAAAAATCTTCTTCTCAAGAACCACTGGGCCAGGAAAGATGAAACTCATGTGGAATCATCACCAGGTAGTGTAGATTCAAGTTTGTTCAAATCATGACCCCTGGGGGTAGGGTGGGGCCAAAATGGCCGATCAAAGTTTTACATAGGAATATATAGGAAAAATCTTTTAAAATCTTCTTCTCAAGAACCACTGGTGCAGGAAAGATGAAACACATGTGGAATCATCCTCAGGTAGTGTAGATTCAAACTTGTTCAAATCATGACCCCCAGGGGTAGGGTGGGGCCAAAATGGCCGATCAAAGTTTTGCATAGGAATATATAAGAAAAATCTTTAAAAATCTTCTTCTCAAGAACCACTGGGCCAGGAAAGATGAAACTCATGTGGAATCATCAACAGATAGTGTAGATTCAAGTTTGTTCAAATCATAACCCCTGGGGGTAAGGTGGGGCCAAAATGGCCGATCAAAGTTTTACATAAGAATATATAGGAAAAATCTTTAAAAATCTTCTTCTCAAGAACCACTGGGCCAGGAAAGATGAAACTCATGTGGAATCATCCTCAGGTAGTGTAAATTCAAGTTTGTTCAAATCATGACCCCCGGGGGTAGGTGGGGCCAATATGGTCGATCAAATTTTTACATAGGAAGATATAGGAAAAATCTTTAAAAATCTTCTTCTCAAGAACCATTGGGCCAGGAAAGATGAAACTCATGTGGAATCATCCTCAGGTAGTGTAGATTCAAGTTTGTTCAAATCATGACCCCCAGGGGTAGGGTGGGGTCAAAATGGCCAATCAAAGTTTTACATAGGAATATATAGGAAAAATCTTCTTCTCAAGAACCATTGAGACAGGAAAGATGAAACTCATGTGGAATCATCTTCAGGTAGTGTAGATTCAAGTTTGTTCAAATCATGACCCCCGGGGGTAGGGTGGGGCCAAATGGCCGATAAAAGTTTTAAATAGGAATATATAGGGAAACCTTTTAAAATCTTCTCTTCAAATACTTCAAAGCCATGCTTAGTGATATTTATAGGAAATCATCCTCAGGTATTGTAGATTCTAGTTTGTTCAAATCATGACCCCCTGGGGGGTTAAAATTCAAGCCCCCTCCCCGCCCTCAGTTAACTTTCAGTTCTGATCTGATATGTGCTTTTTTCTAGCCAATTGCTCAGGTGAGCGATGAGGCCCCTGGGCCTCTTGTTATGATTGTTACTGGCATTTCCTGTTTGATTATTCATACCTTTGTTAACTTTTAAATATCAGCAAAAAGTGATTATATATTGTTATCAAAATAATTAACTAGCCCTTACCATTTAAAAGTTAAGGTCAAGGTTAAAGTTTTCTCATAAGTACAAAATCTCCAAGGTCAAGGTCAAAAGGTCAAGGTTGTTGGTATCAAATGAAAGGTCTTGCCACAAAGAATACATATGTGAAAGAAAGTCCTGGTATCTACTGTTCAAAAGTTATGGCCAAGGTCAAAGTTTTTGAAAAGTAGGTCAAACTCCAAGGTCAAGGTCCAAAGGGCAAAGTTCTTGGTATTCAATGAAAGGTCTTCTCACAAGAATTATATATATGAAGTATGAAAGCCATAGCCCTTACCATTCAAAAGTTATGGTCAAAGTTAAAGTTTTTTCATAAGTACGGTAATCTCCAAGGTCAAGGTGACAAGGTCAAAGTTGTTGGTATTCAATAAAAGGTCTTGCTACAAAGAATACATATGTGAAATATGAAAGTCCTAGTACCTACCATTCAAAAGTTATGGCCTAAGTAAAAGTTTGGAATTTTTGTGTAAAAGTGGGTCAAACTCCAAGGTCAAGGTCAAAAGGTCAAATTTTGTGGTACCCAAAGAAAGGTCTTTTCACAAGGAATACACATATGAAATATGAAAGTCATAGCTCCACTAAATCAAAAGTTATGGGCAAGGTTAAAGTTTTTGTGACGGACGGACAGCCCGACAGACTGACGTACAGCTAGACAGACGGACAGACGAATGAGATTTAATGTCCCCTCGCTTTCGCGAAAGCGGGGGACAATTACAGTATGTGTCATGTCATACATCTGGGCTGTTTATGTGTTATAAACATGAGAAAATGAACATGTCAAACTTTATTTTATTAAAATGTAAATTTTAATACAAAATCTTTGACGTCAATAACATTTGCAAAAACCCCAGTTGGCCTTGATTTTGATGTTATGTAAAAATGACACCTGTTAGATTTAATTTGCTAATCAGACATAAGTTCTCCAGGTTTATGACTAAGAATGAATAAACAATTACCAGTGCAATATATAATCTACTAGTAATTTGAGACATGTGTAAATACATCATTTGTAACACTTATATATAATAATCAAATCACTGAGACAGTACTGAAAGACGGGGTCAGACTAATGCTAGATTTCACAAATTTCAGTACTGCATCATGAAAAGTTTTAAAATGTACAACTTAATTTTATAATTAACATAAAAAATGCAAAATATATATCTTCATGTTTTTCATTTCTTTGCAAAGGGAATTAAGTATTTACTTTTTGAAGAAACCATTTTGAATTGTCCGAATAACACCAGGTCTGAGTAAATTCAATATATTTTCGGAATTAATTTTTTTTCTACACAGTTGTAATACTATGCAGGTGCATGCCCTCTAAAGTCACTGAAAGGACCTTGTTAGTAACTGTTCCTTGATCTTTCAGTTACATCTACCATTTAGTCATTCTGAATTGCAGGTCTTTTTATTAAATAATATGCTTATTTTTGGCTCACTTGGTCAGAGACTAGAAAAGCTTATGTGATAGTACGGTGTCAGTTGTATGTACATCTGTTTGTTTGTCCATCTGTAAACATTTTTTTAATGCTACATCTACCTTTGACCTTGGACCTTATACCTTAACCTGTGAACAGTTAGAGGCATTTATACCTGCTGTTCAATCCAATTCATGTATTAATAATAAATAAAATACTGTAAACCAACTTTTATTCGCAACGACTTTATTTCGATTTACCGGGAGTAAACTAATTCACGACGATAAATTTTCGCGATCAAGCCATTTTTGGAACTTTTTAATAGAAAAAGAGATTTTAAGGACCCGTTAGCGGCGAGAAATTTTCGCGATGACAAGGCTCTCGCGAACCTCGCGAAAATTTCTCGCACGCGAATAAAAAGTTGGTTTACAGTACATGTATATTCTAAATGCTGAATTAGGTCTTGGCTCTCTCTTGTTTTAGCCATGCCTTCTCCATCTGGTTGGAGAGTGCCTGGGCAGTGTACCAGATGACGTGTTTGATGAACTGACCGAGTCCGACTTCTCTGAGGAAGACAACCACTTCCTGTCCTGCTTTGTGAGGTGTTACCTGGTGGCTCAAGGGAGACAACCACTGGCTCTGCTGAACCGATGTGTGGATGCCAGTCTCAATCAAGCAGACAGGTTATCATGTGTGAAATAAAAAGTTAACTTTCATAGAAAGCTATATAATATATATAGGATCTCACTTGGATTGAGGTCAGATATGATCATTTGTATCCAACAAGTTATACTATTATCTATGACCAAAGTAGAATGATCCCAATTCGTTTCATGTTAAACTATAAATGTACCATGGGCATTCATGTCCTTGGGACATATCTCTAGCTTTCTTCTTTTGAGCACACATCAGTAGAGCTACAGTCTCATCAGTGCCCTAAACTGACTAGGTGGCCACAGTTTATACAGAATATAATATTGAGATTCACAATAAATAATGACATATCAACAATAGCATAAAATTTCAGTGATCCCCCCAAAAATTGGTCCCCTAAAAATAGAATGGTTATTTGATGCTGGATCCAATACTTTTGTGGGTGGTGACATGTATAATAGTTATAATTACCGTAACTATATATATTTTCCAGTGATACAGATGACCTGCTGGCTTTATTCTACCACACATTCTGGTGACCAGTATAATAGTTATATGTATATTTTTCAGTGATACAGATGACCTGCTGGCTCTATTCTACCACACATTCTGGTGACCAGTATAATAGTTATATGTATATTTTTCAGTGATACAGATGACCTGCTGACTTTATTCTACCACACATTCTGACCAGTATAATAGTTATGTGTATATTTTCCAGTGATACAGATGACCTGCTGACTTTATTCTACCACACACTCTGGTGACCAGTATAATAGTTATGTGTATATTTTCCAGTGATACAGATGACCCTGGCTGGTGACCAGTATAATAGTTATATGTATATTTTAGTGATACAGAAGACCCACACACATTCTGGTGACCAGTATAATAGTTATATGTATATTTTCCAGTGATACAGATGACCTGCTGTATTCTACCACACATTCTGGTGACCAGTATAATAGTTATGTGTATATTTTCCAGTGATACAGATGACCTGCTGGCTCTATTCTACCACACACTCTGGTGACCAGTATAATAGTTATATGTATATTTTCCAGTGATACAGATGACCTGCTGACTTTATTCTACCACACATTCTGGTGACCAGTATAATAGTTATATGTATATTTTTCAGTGATACAGATGACCTGCTGGCTTTATTCTACCACACATTCTACCACACAGATGACCTGCTGACTGGTGACCAGTATAATAGTTATATGTATATTTTTCAGTGATACAGAGACCTGCTGGCTTTATTCTACCACACATTTTGGTGACCAGTATAATAGTTATATGTATATTTTCCAGTGATACAGATGACCTGCTGACTTTATTCTACCACACATTTTGGTGACCAGTATAATAGTTATATGTATATTTTTCAGTGATACAGATGACCTGCTGGCTTTTTTTCCACACATTTTGGTGACCAGTAAATAGTTATATGTATATTTTCCAGTGATACAGATGACCTGTTGACTTTATTCTACCACACATTCTGGTGACCAGTATAATAGTTATATGTATATTTTTCAGTGGTACAGATGACCTGCTGGCTCTATTCTATCACACATTCTGGCACATCTCTCAATCCAAAGCTGAGTCCAGTGGAGTCCAGCATCAACTTCAGTGGCTGCTAGAACTCCTAGGCCACACTAGAAATGTGTCAACTGGGGCCATTGCCCTATCTGACAAAGTCAATATTGATAAGGTAAAACTCTTTGTTCTTACAAGACTATAAACTGAAAACAGACTTAACATTTCAAACCATTATAATTTCTGAAATATTTTGATAGTGAACCCAAATTTAAATCATATGCTTAAATTGCAATGCTATACTCTATTCTCTGACCTTATTTATGGGTGCCGCCATGTTTGGATCACGTGACTTGACGCCATGAAGGTGCTGATAACGTCATAATTCGGTCATACTCAATGCAGTAACTTTTCTCCATTATTCATTCATTTATTGGCATAATTCTAATACAAACACTCGTTTATATTAAGTTAAAGTTAACTGATTCATTCTTTATTTGGTCTTTTTTTCCTCTTCATTCTTTGTATAATTAAATGTTTTAAAATCAGTATTGATCGATTGATTGTTATTGTTTAAGGCCAAGTTGGTTATATTTTACCCGTATTTCGGAGGTTTGATAAATATTACGCCGGGTTTTCTTTGAAATAAATTTTAGCAAGATTATAAAAGGCAAAAACTTATATAAGTAAGAAAGAATGTCAGATCTTTTATACAGAGAGAGAGAGAGAGAAAGAGAGGGGGGGTCTCAAGTAAAATTGTAACAGGTGATTTGTAAACTTGTTTTGAAAATAAATATTAGCATACAAATACAAACAAATGTATGACTGAAACTTTTTACAATTCATGTTTTAATTTTTGTGATGATTTTTTCCCACTAAGTTCATTAATAAACTGTACGTGTTAAATTAGGCATTATCCATGGGTCCTCGTGGGGTATTGGCAAACGAACAACTAGGATATTTTAAAGAGAGGCGAGTTGACGACTAATCCTCCCTTTTTATAAGTGAAACATACAACCTATCCCTACTCCTATTTTTTTCATACTTAAAAAATCTGCGTGCCATGGGCGTTAAACAAAATTTATAAGTGACGACAAAATCTCTTCCAGGCCCGACACATCTACATTTGTCATTGTGAATATTTTTTGTCTAAATTTCTGAAGGGCTACATGCGCATGGTTTCAATATTATTACAGGTAGATCAAAAAAATCATTTACATAATTAGTCACCCTCCTGGCGTCTATATTATACTGGTATTACGATAAATCCAGAACTAATGAATTTTTAAAAAAAAGGTACTTCAATTTTCTCCGTTTTTCCTCGATTCTTGTACAGGACTTGGGGAGAAACGCGGTTGAAGTTTTAAGTTACTTATACATCTGTATATACTAGTATATACTTTAAAACTTATTAACACCTGTGTGAAAAAATTTATAATAAATTCATTTTTTTATTTAAAAAAAGGCTGAAGATGTTTTTCATAAAGCAAGGACTGATTTTGAAGAACATGCAACAAGTCAGTTTAATGCTCATGCAAGGCTATACCGGTACTTCCCATTTTTTAAAAGTCAAACGGTTTTATTTTCTTAAATGATTTCACATGTGTGGAATCATTTCATAAAACGACAATCGTGTTTAATATTGCAGCACACTCTAGCATAATTTTTTCCTTCTCAAATGTTATAAAATGTAATACATGAAAGAAAGTCATGTTGTTTTTTTTTTATGCGATTTTAAACAGGAGGGCTGTTCATATACATGTATATATAGAAATTAGAAATTTAGGAAAGAAAGTACACAAATATCCAAACAACTGTGAACTAAAACATGCCTTCGCAAATTGTAGAAAAAATTATAATAAATTAAGGAAAAATCTTAAATCAACTTTTTACAATAGTGTAGCAGAAGAAATAAACTCGCTTTCACCACAAAACTCTAATAAATTTTGGAATAAGATAAAAGAAAATAAATCAAAGAAAACTATTGCAGAAGCAATTTAAAAGATTTTGATCATTACAAATCGCTACTGAACATACAATATGCTGATGAAGAAAGCTCAAAATACAAATTTACTGAACTAAATACTGAACCAAATCCATTAGACTTTTTGTTTACTCAAGATGAAATTAAACAAAGCATTTTAAAGCTAAAAAATGGTAAAAGTGCTGGGCCTGACATAATCTTAAATGAATTTATTAAAACAAACAATACTTCTCTTTTACCAATTCTTACAAAACTGTTCAATATTTTACTAAAAAAAATGGAAAAATGCCCAAAATGGAATTAAATCACTTATTACCTCATTATGCAAAAATGGTGACCCTAATAATACAAACAATTATAGAGGTCTCAGTGTTACAAGTTGTTTAGGAAAACTTTTTACAGGCCTTCTACAGAAACGCTTAGATAATTATCTTGAGTCAAATAACCTACTAAGCCAATATCAATCTGGATTTAGAAAAGGTCATAGGACCACAGACAATATATTTGTATTAAAAACACTTGTAAACAAATATCTTTATGCAAAGAAACAGAATTAATATGTGTGTTTTGTAGATTTTTCAAAAGCATTTGATACTTTTATGTGAGCACTTTTATACAAATTGAATAAAAAGGGTATTGGTTAACTTTTCAAACTTTTAACAGACATGTATTCGAACACATACTATTCTTGTAAAAAAGACAATCAAATAGGATAGAAATTTAAAGCAAATAGAGGAGTCAAGCAAGGTGATAATTTAAGTCCAACACTTTTCAATATTTTTGTTGATGATTTTGTGAATTACAAGAATGTAAGTACATATCCCTTATCTAGATACTATGCCAATTAATCATATGTTTTTTGCTGATGATCTTGTCCTTGTATCAAAATCAGAAGTTGGTCTACAAAATTGTAGCAGATATTTTAGGAATATTGTTCAGATTTGTTGGAAATTGTGTGTTAATATGGAAATAAACAGATGTTATGATTTTTTCAAAAAAATCTGTTTGAAGCATCATTTAGATTTTATTATAATCACAAAATGATTAACATAACAAATGAATATCATTATTTGGGTATTGTGTTTAGATCTGATGGGAAAATGAAATTTGCTGCTGAACAGCTATAGAACGTGCTAGAAAAGCATATTACGGTTTAAATCAAATTTTCCTGCAAATGTTACATTTTTCTGCTGAAATTAAAATTATATTTACAATGATAATACCAATTATAACATCCTGGATCTGAAATATGGATAACTGACTTTAAATGTGATTTAAGGTCTTCAGACCAGTTTCCTTTTGAAAAAACACAGCACTTGATATTTAAAGATATACTAGGGGTACACAGAAAGGCATCAAATCTTGCTGTTTTATGTGAGTTGGGTCGTTTTCCTTTGTACTATTTATGTTATGAATATATGTTAAAATATTATGAGACTGAAGGAAATGGAATGCAACCATGATTATAACAATATTTAGTATATACATTTAAAGAAGACAAAAATCTTTATTAAAATTCTTGGCAAAAGAAACTGTGTGAAATTAAATATTAGTTCTAAAATATTCACATAACTTTGAAAAACAAATTACAAGAGCATTACCAAAACAAGATATATGAACACTGAAAAAAGTTAGCAAATCAGACTCTGGAAAGTTAGCATTTTTAGCAAAATTGTGAATCAAGATGAATACAAACTGCAAAGTTATTTAAAACTGCCCAATGAAGAAAAGTTGGCAATCAAAACTAAATAAAAAAATATATAAAATTAAGGTTACTTCCCATCCACTATATATTGAAACGGGTAGATCTGTAAACCCCCTATTCCTAGAGAAAAACGTTTTATTTTCATGTAAATTGATGTTCGAAAAACATTTTGTTCTTTATGTGTCCAAAGTATGATCAATATAGATGCAATTATAATGATATATTTAATGTAAACACATATACTAGTGATAACCCCATTAGAAAAACTGTCAATCCTACAAATATTTCAACTGCTAGAAGGATATGTTAATTGTTTCTTGAAAAAGTGCTTTGACACCAGAAAAGAAAGTCAAAAATGAATATTAATATTGAGAAATACACAATTTTGTTCACCTCATATTTCTCACTTTGTATATACTTGTATTAATTATGTTAATTTATGCTATGTTATTCATGTTCATGACTGTATGCCGACATGGTAATTGTCAATAAAGTGAATTGAATTGAATATAGGCGAATGTGAATTGTAGTTAAAATAAGACATAGAACAATAGAGCGTATTTATTTTTTTTTTTAGTATAACACTATATAGATTATTAAATAAATTAATATCCATGAAGTAAAATTAGATTAATAACATGACGGTCGTCTAGATTTTCTCAGTCGACTGACATATATTTCTTTTAAATATTAAACACGAAATATAAATATTTTTTAATTTTGTCTCAATTTTTTTGTCATTGTTAATTATTTTTACTTAATTTTTTATTTACTAAACCAGCACATGGTGTATAAAATTATATACAAAACGTCAAATACAAAAAAGGTTTCGGATAACAACGGGCTGTTTATGAATAAAATGAAATTGAAAACTTGATTAAAAAAACACACACATGTATATCACTTCGTTAGATTTTTTACTATACTTACACACATTTCCAGTCGTATCTCAGCATGTCTGACTGTGGAAAACAAAGAAAACAATGTATTTATCACCCGTTTACTCGTAGTGCTTACTGTCACTCTTATCACACTGTCAGCACCGTAATGGCGGCCGACGACAACGCCGCCATGTGACAAAGCGCGATAACTCTGTAAAACGTGAAAAAGAATCGTGTATACAAAGCTGCAAAATGTTATGCAAATTCACTAAATAAAACTCACGATATCAAAAATAAAAAAATTACTTAGGTCTGTCTTGGAGCCAGGTTTTGCTTTTATTATTGTCTTTTCAGAGATTAAACAGTTGACTGTATAATACTTTACTTTGTTAAATTTTATTGTGTGTTTGTATGTTGTTGGATTGAATTTTTATGTCATGAAATCAAATTTTGACTTTTCCTTCTGCATCTGTCCATTTTATTTGTTCTTCCTTAAAATTCTATAAACTTTCAACATCTTTTTTGCCATGGCAAACATGTGCTTCTTTTCTTAATTTTCTCAAAATGAAAATAAACCACAAGAGCTACAGTCTTGTCAGAGACTTCTTGTTGGTTTCATATCTTCTAAACATGAGTTGTTCAGTTATCATTCAAATTGCTGAATACAATTTAATGACAGAACCCTGATTATTTATCACTTACAGCAAACTGTCCAAGTTCAACCACTGTTCATTCACCTGTTGCTGTCTGTTCAGTCATTGTTCACTTAGCTTTCACTTTTTTGCACTTTCCTACTTTCATTTCATCTGCATGTACTCTTATTACATTAAAACTACAAGTCTCTATTAAATTGAAGCTCTGTTAATGTGGACTTTTAACGGCCTACTGTTATCTGTTTTTCTGTGTCATCATCCATCATCCTATATAAACTTTTGAACATTATCAGTTTCTTCTTTTGAAACAGTGCTGAACCAGTTTCAACCAATTTTGGCATATTGCATCAGTAGGTGAAGGGGAACAAATATAATTGTGAAATTCATGGTCCCTGCTCCCATTGGGCCTGAGGGATGAGCCTAAACACATCAAAATTAGTATGACTATCTTCTTTACTTCTAGACATTATGTAGTCAAACTTCTGATGCCATATTGTAACAAGTATAAAGCCCTCTGCTAAAATTTTGAAATTCATGGCCATGTTGTTGAAAAAAAAACGAAACCGAACATCTATTGACCAAAAAAAAAAAAAAAAAAAAGAAAGAAAGGAAAGACAACAATAACAAAAACATTCATGTTCATGGGTTCTGATTTGGGATTGGGCTCTAAGGTTTATAGTGAAAATGCAAAAAATCTTTAAAATATACCTTCACCTTTATTTATTTAGCAGAAATTATGATGAGCAAAATTAAGTGACCCTTCCATATTTGTTGTTGCCACACTGTTGGGTTTTCAGAATCTGTCAATTATTTATATACATGTATTGAAAACACATTAAATCTTTGAAAATTTTTGTCTTTGCTCCTGAGACATAGGAAAAGTGAGTACAGAATAATGATGAGCAAATGTGCTCTGTTCAAAATTATGAAATATGATGCCCTAGTATGACATTAATTGGATTGATTCCTCACCCTTATACATGTATTGTTATACCATGTATACTGAGTTGTGAACTTGTGAGGGTTCTGACTTTTAAAAATACAGACAAGTAAAATATGAATGATAAGAGTTTTTACCTGTTAATAAATAACATACTCTTTATATTGTAAAATGCAAGAATGTTCCCACATAATAAATGTGAAAAGTAGATCATAGTAATCTCTCCAAAGATGGGGAATGGTTGTGTTGTTTTAACAATTGTCATACTTTTAACACCCTCCCTGGCCTGTGGTTTTATTCCATTAATTGTCCTGACTTGCTGTATGAGGCTGAAGAGTTTTGGGTTTGGTTGGTTGCATCAGTCCTATTCCATTACTTGTTTAGACTTAATGTTGTATTTTCAGCTTGTAGAGTTTTGGGTTTGATTGGTTGCAGCAGTCCTATCCCATTAATTATCTAGACCTAATGCTGTATTTTTCAGGTTGTAGAGTTTGGGGTTCGCTTGGTTGCAGCAGCCATCAGTATGTGGACGTCAGCCTCCACTGCCTCTGTGTACAATATAAACCCACAGTTCTTAATGGAGCGCTATCCCATCAGTCCTTTCCAGGAAGGTCATGACTTGACCTTGGGCAGGTGCCAGCAGAGTCCTATACATTTATTACCATCCTACATATCTGGACTGGAACACGAGCCATGGAATCAGATTTCACTAAAGGTCAGTGACAATGAGGGTTCAGACCATTCCTTACAGTATTATTGATAATTTTTGCATTTAAATTTCTTGTCCTCTCAGAATACAGAGATAAATGAAAGTTACTAGGGAAACATAATATCTACTTTTTATGTTTTTATTCATAATCTCAAATTCACACATATCTTAAAGTTTAATCTCAGTCCTATTGAGTTCAAGATGACAAGTTTTAAACATATACAGTCAAATCTCATCTCAAACTGAATGGGACAGGAAAAACTTTGAGATATCCAATGATTTGAGATATCGAGTGTAAAATACTTAAAGAATAAGTTACTGTAAACCAACTTTTATTCTCGTGAGAGAAATTTTCGCGAAGTTCGCGAGAGCCTTGTCATCGCGAATATTTCTCGCCGCGAACCAGTCCTTAAAGTCTCTGCATCTATAAACAACAGATCAAAAAAGGCCTGATCGCAAAAATTAATCTTCGCGAACTAGTTTAATCCCAGTAAATCCCGAAATAAAGTCATCAGGAATAAAAGTTGGTTTACGGTATTGGGACCTCTAAATCACTGTATCTAGTTAATGTATATTCACTATTTTTAGAATAGCAGTATATCCTGATCAGTATACAGGAGTATATTGTGTATAACATGTTTCAGGTTCTGGACTGGCTAGCTTTAATGCAGCGCAGGCAGAATTCCACCTTACAATCTCTATCAGGTGAGCTAAAACTAGAATACCACATTTAAGGTTAAGTTTTGAGTTCTTAATTCTTTAATTGCATAGACACCTGATTTTTAAAAACGTTTTAACACTATTATATTTCAGTATTTTAAAATTGAGTTGTTTTGACATTTTCTAGCTGCTGAGGTTGGCCTGAAGCATTCTGCCGAGTTCAGGAGAGCTCAGGCCTGGACTGATATTATACAAAGATATCCCACAGTCTCTGTAGATTAGTCTTCATTGTAGAGAACAACAGACATTAAAAAAAAAATTCTGCTACTATAGTCAACAGTGCCCACATAGGAAAGTGTTTCAGTAGATAGTTAATTCTCCAGCTATTGTCTATGTAAAGCACTGAACACATACTTGGGCATTAAGAAGTTTAATAAGTTGAAAATTCAATCTTCTTCAGTAAATGAAACTGATGTCCTTCACAGGAATAGTACATTGTTATATCTCCTTCCATATTTCAATAAGAAAATCTTCTATTGCTGTAGAAGATATCTCCAGAAGCCAAAGACAATTATTAATAAACTAAGACAAAACTTTGCATCTTTTTCTGTGTTTGAATAAATTTATCATTGTGTGTTTGTACTTAAATATTATGAAATATTGGCAAGTTTCTAAGGATTAACAGAGCTCTAATAAGCTTTTGCAAACTGTTGAGTTACTAAATGATCAGGAGAAGAAGAGATTTATGACTTTGATAGCTGTACCCTGGTTCCCTCTGGCTCCAGGGTGGCTTTGATCTTGATAAATTTTCCCCTTGATTCATAGAATGGTACATGAAATATATGAAGATATTAACTAACAGTATTCAAGCTCAATACAAAATGGAGCAGAGCAAACACAGACCTCCAAACATCATAGGTTGGATCAGCTGCTATGTAGGAGTGAGCATCCCCTCCCAAACAGTCATACCAGTCTTGTGCTCTTGTCATGATTGAGAAATAATGGAAAAAAATATGTCGACAGTTCTGTGTCTAAATATTGGCTTTATGATTAGTATGAAAAACGTCAGTCAGCATTTGACTTAATGATAAATTGTATTTGCTGTCAAGGTCATTGTATCAACTAGAACTTAAAAAATTAATACTTTGAGTGAGACTGCTGATATTTTTGTTTCATCAACTTGTTTGTCAGTAATTAACCTCCTTTGAAAAATTGTTCATATATAGAGCATGCTCTTGCGTATCGACTAGGATATATAAACTCCATACGCAGGTGATGAAGGTATATTGCTGCTTAGCGGTAAGTAAGGGAAGTTGACAATTGAAAAGTGAAAGTTATCATGTTGATCATAGAGCTTGGTCATTAGATTACCATTAAGTCATCTTTTTTAAGATAAATGTTCAAATATGAACAGATGTGTCACATTCTGTGGTATCTTATATTTCAAACTCACTAGGATATCTCGTATGGGAATGAGCATTGTTAATTGACAATAAATTGTTGAGATATATAAGTGTGGAGTTAAAGGCCACAGCAAGTGTTTTATTCTTTTCAGTTTTCAATTTGTATATGATCTTGAATAATTGTACTTCATATGAATACAAAAATAGGTCTGCTTATAATGGGGCACAATCGTTATCCATGGAAATTCCAACAAATTGTTGGAAGACCTGGTCTCCAAAAAAAACACAAACTCTTAAGATATTGTAAATCAGAAACTCTTTTTAATATCATCTTCAGAGTACTTGTGTGTAAAATCACTTAAGCTGCACTAAAATTGTTTGCCATTAATGTGGTTCTGTTAAAAAAGTTGAAAAGTTTATGAAGTGCATATATGGCTGAATTTTTGGTAATTATCAACTTTTCATTTCCGACATTTTTTTGTTTTCATATCCAACATTTTTTAATTACATAAGTACATGTAGTACCTATAGTAACATTTGATAACTTTACTTGTGAAAAATTTAAAGGAATAAATCATACATAAATCATTGAAATCCAATTTTGTAAATCTATCAGTGACATGGACATAAGTATGGTGCTGTCACTGACATTTAATTTAGTGCACATTAAATGTGGTAAAAAAGTTTATGCTCATTGAACAATTAACCTAGACTTAGTGCTACATACATGTATGCATATATGTACAGATGTTTATTATTATTATTATTTTTTTATTGATATTTTGGTATACGTAAATACTTTTAAAATTCCATTTTCTTTTACTTAGAAAACATTGAATTGCCGTACAGGTAAATTCCGGAAATGAAAAAAAATATGTCGGAAATGAAATTAAAAAAATGTCGGAAATGCTGTGCATATTTCCGGAAATGAAATGCAGTGGCATATAGCATAGGGCCATGAGCCAAAATATTTAATACAGTGTATCAAATTAATTAAATTATAGGATATATAAACAAAAGAAAGAATAAATACTTGATGTCCTCAAAACTAAATGTCAAATTGCCATTGAGAAAAGATATGATCCACTGGTATCAAAATAATTACAGTGCATATAATTATCACATACAGGTGTGCAGAAAGACTGCATGTGAATGAAAGTATATTTCTGCCGCCTACCCCAAAGTCAATATTCAAACTTATCAAACAGGTTGCTTATGCAAGAATCTGGCCTAGAAAGTCTTTGCTATGAGGTGGTATAAGTGCTAGACAATACATTAACTTCTTTTAATATTCTGTAGACGAGAGGCCCATGAGAGGCAAAGCTAACCTGCATTCCCAAGAAATATTTTGCCCCACCTTTAAAGCTTCTTGTGTCAAGACTTAACCAGATTTGAATTCACTTTTTGGGATTCTGTCTTTATGACAAACATGGCTTTGTTATTTTGGAGACATTTTTTTCAAATATATAAGCATCTTTGGATTCAGGAATTTAGACAGAATTATTTGGTTGAAAGTATATATTACACCCCCTTCCTAGGTGAGATATTAAAAAGAGAAAATAAAGATCAGGGTCATTAAACCATATTCTTCTCAAGAACCAATGGGTCAAAAAAGGCTAAAAAAAATTGTTGTTTAAAGTCTAAATTGTTTAAGCCATGCTTTCGTATGCCAAAATACTAAAGAGTTGGGCTATGTCACAACAGGAGATCAATAATTTAGTTATAACCCCTGGAGTTGGGACAGGGCCATATCAGGATTGAGACCAAATATTTACATGAGAATGAATTGGAAAATTAATTTTTAAAAATAGCCAAAAAATGCTCAGTTACTGGGAGCAACCTCATAATATCCTCCTTTACTTTTGACCTTGATATTAATATGACTCTAAAGCAACAAATAAGGTCTCCACTTTTAATTTTGATTATATGACCCTAAACCAACAGGTCTACACCTTTACTTTTGAATTTAATTACATGACCCTACACAAACATGTCTCTTTCTTTACATTTGACCTTGATAATACATGTATGACACTTTAATCCAACAGGTCTCGCCTTAAATTTTGGTCTCGATTACATAACCCTTAACAAAGAGATCTCCACTTTGAATTCTAGTCTTTTTACATGACCCTAAATAAACAAGGTTTCCTCTTTTACCTTTGACCTTGATCACATGACCCTATGCCAGTAGACCCTTAACCAACAGAACTCGACACTTACTGTTGACTTGGATTACATTACCTTAAACAAACAGGTGTCCTAAACAAACAACTATCCTAATTTACTTTTGATCTAGATGACGTGACCCTTAATGAACAAGTCTCATTCTTTAATTTTGACCTTGATTACATGACCCTAAACTAATGGAACCCAACTTATAAATTTAGTCTTGTTTACGTCCTTAAACCAACAGGTCTCTTTTACTTTTGACCTTCAATTCTTGACCCTAAACCAATGGGTCTCCCTCTTTAATTTTTGTCTTGATTACTTGACCCTTAACCAATGGATCTCTAAGTTTACATTTGACCTTGTGTACACGACCCTAAACCAGTAGGTCTCTTGATTAAAAGACATTAAACAGTGTCCAACTTAACATTTGATATTGATAGCTTGACCCCAGTCAAACAAATATCCTTTACTTTTGACCTTGTGTACATGACCCTAAGTCCACAGGTCTCATCCTTTACTTTTGACCTTGATACCATGGCCTTAAAACAACAGGTCTCCACCTTTTGATCTTGATCACATGACCCTTACCAACAGGTTGCCACCTTCTAATTTGACCTTGATTACAAGACCATGGAACAACAGGTCTCCACCTTTTATTTGATCTTGATTGCATAACCCTACACAAATAGGTTTCCTCCTTTACTTTTTATCTTGACAAAAAAATGGTTTGCCATTTTCCAACCAATCAGCTAAAAACAGCCCATGGAAAAACTTTTTTTGTGACTTTCAGGAAACTTATGTTATTATGCACTCCAAAATACTAGATTTTAAAACTTAAGCATTGATGTTGAAAATTTCTGAGAATATTTTTTTCACCTACCTACCCACCCAATATTTTTATTATGAATCAGGAGATGGCAAACAAACATTATTTTAAAGTTGGCCTTACATGTAGTTATTCAAAAGCCAATCGAAAAAGAATTGCATCAATAAACAGTCAATTCCAAATTTTCAACATCAAAAATCTACTGATGTTTCACTCTCTGCTCACACTGTATTAGAAGTAACAAAAGCAGACACAAAGAGAGTATTTTTATTTTCAAAAAAATGTCTTGTAAATTATGTCATAAAAAATGTGCAATCTAATGGGGAAAAATCACAAACATTCTCAAAAACCTACCTTTGTTTTAACACACTGATTGACATGCATAAATAACATACTGTAGAAGCACAGATTTTCGTGGGGATAAAATTTCGTTGATTCGTCATCAAAAACAGTTTCATGGGCATTTAAATTCGTCGTTTTGAGAGTAAGCCTACTCAGTATATAGTCATATAAAATTTCGTGTGGGATTTAACTTTGTTGATAATTGTTAACAACGAAATAAAGGAAATTTAATCCCCCACAAATATTTGTGCTTTAACAGTAATCCCCTCAACAATTTAAAACAATCGTGTATGAAAACAAGAGATCTATAAATAAAAAGTTGATTGAACAAACATTATTATCATAAATTAGAGAGGCCACAACAACAAATGCATAATATTGTATCACAAACCACATGTCAATAGGGTTTTACAAAAAAAAAGTAGGAAAGACAAAAAGAGGAACTATTAAATAAATACATACATAGTCTTATTATGTACGTTCTTATAACCAAAAACAAATGTTTAGTACGATTTAGTTAGTAGAAACTGACTAATTGAAATTATAATTAATTTTTTTTATTGAAATTATCTGCTTTGTATGAACATATACATGTATTAGTATATTAACATTATGTAAACAAAACATTACACGGACCATGTTTACATAACAAAGGTTTGGAGCTCTAAATCTGTCTTGTATCTCAACAACCGAAGTTCAAACTTTTGATGATCATTAGTAAGACTAGTAAATAATTTGGTAAAAATTGAGAAATAAATTAGAAAATTTTTAGCTTAAACTGTGTCCATGCCCCTTTAACGAAGATATTTATATAAATTTCATATATACTAGCTTAATTAAAATTTTTTTTGGGCTACATTACATTTAATATGACCTTTCTGCACTGAAATTTGTGTCTTAATTAAACATTACATCTTCGTCGTTTTCCCTCCAATATTTTTATCAAATTAAAGCATGAAACAAAATGAAAATCCTTAAAAATTGTGACTAAGAAAAAGATATTATATGACCTTTCTGCACTAATAAAATGTTAAGATAGGCAAGAAAATTATTTTAAAGTCTTAAACTTTTTCTGATTTTAAGCGTGGAACATCAAAAGTGGGGGTATATGTGAACATCCTAAAAAAGTGTGAATTTTGTTAAAATTGGCTCAGTTTTTCCCCGGAAGAATATAACTAAACAATGAATTCATAAGAAATAATTTAATAGATATTTCAGAACCAGCATAACATATTTCACTGCAAAAAACAGCTTTGTGTGCAACAATTCTCAAAATTGTACTGTTATAGTTCAAATGGAAAAAATATATCTAAAAAACTCCGCCACAAAATATATCCCTACCTTTTATATCATTCAAAATGGATTTTATTGTTAGAACCTAAAAATGATGCTTAAAAAAAACACATCATGCATGTGTGATATTTCATATATACTGATTTTTTTTTTCAAATTATCATAAATAAATTATTCAGTAAGATGGGACTCAATATATCAAACTTTCATCTTTATATCATTCAAAATGGTGTAAAAACACACATCATGCATGTGTGATATTTCCATTCAAATTATCATTAATAAAAAAAAGTCTTTTAACTTTTATGTATTACATTTTAGAAGCTTCGTACGTTGAAAAAGAACCTTATGTTAGCATAAACTACACATTACACCAATAAGCATTTGATTACAGCATGTAAGTAAAATATATCTAAGTACCAAACTCATATATACACCCAATACCATATAATCCCTATTAACCGCCCCGGGCGCTTAGAAAATTGTAAAAAGGGGGCGGTTATTTTGGTACGCTATTTATGATATTCAATGTCATACTTGAAGTTCAAAAAATCTTTTGAAAAAAAAAATAAATTCAAGGAACCAATAAAATAATGTCTAACTTTACTTAAAGTGAAGATAATCCACCCAAATTATGCTAAATTATTCATTTTCCATTGAAAAATTGGATAATAACACTTTCTTCAATATTTTGATATGATTCTCGTTGATTTTAATCACTGTAGAGGGGGCCCTTATTTCCTGACAATTAAAAAAGACCTAAGGGGGCGCTTATAGGGGAAGGGGCGGTTAATAGGGATTATACGGTAACAAGTATCAGTACCAAATGTATTATGCTTTGAAAAGATACATGTACATATGAATATGACAGTTTGTAATTGGAATATTTCAGGTCCAGAGATCAGAGGTCCTGGAATGTAATGACAAGGATATGTAGACGTTGTCTTTCTAGTTACTGTACATCCACATGGCATTCATAATTTACATATAGGCATATCAATGAACAGTGAGGATGAGAGAGGTAATGATAAATGAAACAGAGTCAGCAGACCCTACACTCAATATGCCAATATATAGGCACTGAACACAACAGGAGGCTAAATAAGAAAGACAAAACCCTTAACAGAAATTAAAGTACATTATAAAAATAAGTAATATGGTACATGAACTATCTGATACTGTCAATCAAATAAATTAGTTACAAAGGAATATATTTCTTATTACATCCTAAATACTCATTTTGAGAAATAATAGTACATATACACCAATAATATTGTGTTTCTTTTTAAGTTGCTTTCAAGTTTGAATAAACTGAATGTGTACCTATATTTATAGGCTTCATGTTTTCACACATTATGCTCCATTTATGGTGTGCTATTTCTTGAATACTTCCAGGATATCATTTCACTTCAATCAATATCTTTAAATCCATTTGTTCAATATTATAAAATTTTCTCGGTTGTTAAATTTTACGACAATTACACACAAATAAGATGTGATGTATATTCTAATTATTGAGTGACAGAGTCATAATTGGTGAATTAAGGCAGACTTTTTAAAGAATATAATTGATACAATGACTTGGTGTAATATTTAAAATTACTTGAAAATTAATACAAAAAGAATAAAAAAATCGAATGAATATGGACCAAACGGCTCAAAAACAACTTGAACAATAATAATGTACATATAAGTAGATGTATAAACTTATATCTGAGAAGGATGTTAATGTTTTCCAATCTGTTGTTTATTTTCCTTATATCGTACCCAGATTTCTCTGCAGCTGATCTAGGCTGTCTACTTTTTGGTCATTTTTTTCCTTCTGTAAAAAAAAATGAAAAATTCCAATAATCTATAACTCAACAAACAGGAATTAATTTTCTCAGTAAGCCAAGATTTTTAGTTAAATTCAAGACAAAAGGCCTAGGGACCACAAAGCTCACATCAGTCACACCAACACTGATGTTCTCAAGATTTTTTCCCCTTCTACTCTCATGAAAAAATTGTGGCCTCACCCTATCCATAAATGATCATTTAATAACTTTATTCCAAGAAGATTTGAAAGTCATTGTGAACCTAATGACGCAACAGTTGACAATAATTTCTCTCAATTTTGAACTTTAATGAATGCACAGTTACAGTCAGGTGACTTACAACCCACGCATCCCCCCCTTTCACTTGAGCCTTTGGTGAAGTTGAGCTTAAAAAGATTGTTCTAATTGTTCGATTTCACATCTTTTACTTGGCTGGTCACATGCCAGGGGGAGCAAAACTACACCCAATATATTGCGCCCATTGCTTATACCTGTCCATTTCCTGCTATTTCCTCATCATCTTCATCTTCATAGTCGGCTGTGGGGTCCTGTGAATCAGACACAAAAAATCAGATCACTGCACATCAAAATCTCAAAACACAGTGGTATTATTAAACTAGAACTGTCCAAACGGGACAAAATACTCCCCGCTGGGTTTTTCAGAAGTGCTAAATCATGAATATTTTATGGATCTGAGAGAAGAGAGAAATGCTAAAACATTTTTAGTGCAAATGTAATTGCTCATTATATTTTTTATAAATGAAATGAAGGCGCAACCTAATAAATAAAATTAGACTAAATATATGGACCAGACACGAATTATGAACTTTTTCTGTCAGTGACCTTGAACTTGCATAAATGACCTTGGTTCAAAGTCATGACACAACCTCAGGTCATAAGCAATGTTTGTGTGAGGTAGTAGATTCAAGTTTTTCCATAATAAAGAAAGATATGGACCGGACACAAATTATAGTGAGCAATCTTAGTGTGAAATGAGAACTTTCCAAGTTTATATCCATAAGAAAGATATGGACCAGACACGAATTATGAAATTTTTCTTCCAGTGACCTTGAACTTCCCCAAATGACCTTGACCCAAGGTCACAACACATCCTTAAGTCAGGAGGAATCTTTGTGTGAAATGAGAACCTACCAAGTTTATCCATAAGTTTATCCATAAGAAAGATATGGTCCGGACACGAATTATGAAATTTTTCTTTCAGTGACCTTGAACTTCCCCCAATGACCTTGGGTCAAGGTCATGACACACCCTTAGGTTATGAGCAATCTTTGTGTGAAATTAGAACCTACCAAGTTTACCTATAAGAAAGATATGGACCAGACACGAATTATGATTTTTTTCTTCCAGTGACCTTAAACTTCCCCAAATGACCTTGGGTCAAGGTCATGACACACCCTTAGGTCATGGGCAATCTTTGTGTGGAGTGGTAGATTCTAATGTTCCTCCGTAAGAAAGATATGGACCGGACACGATTGCACAGACAGACGGACAGCTGGACGGACAAGGTGATTCCTATTTACCCCCCCAAACTTCGTTTGTGGGGGGTATAAATATGACATATTTTTTGTGTCCATATTTCAGCAACATTTCAATGTACTAATGAATTTTTAAATGAAGAGAGACAACTTGATAATGAACAAATGAGAACATCTCATGCTTTTAAGGTTCATTTTTTAAAATTTATACTAGTGTATAAATACGAAATTTTGTCATATCAAATATTGCATCAAACAATATATAAAAACTGGCAACTGACACTAATTGAACTTGAACAAGAAATCTGTGAGCCAATGCTCACTAGTAATACCCCCGCTCTGATGTAAATAAGCACTATCATGTTAATATATATACACAAGTTCAATTACAGGCAGATGCACAGAAAAATTTGAAGTTGACATCAGATTCATATCAAAATTAATCCCACCATATGGCATGCCTCAACAAAGGGTGTAATAAAATTTCAAGCATCCGCTATGAATAGCTAATGAGAAAACTGGGACGAAAATTTGCTATGTGTGAAACAGACAGACACACAGACAAACAGGAAGTTGATATCCGATTTGAAAAAAAAATGTATCCCAAGATATGGCATACCTCAGAGAAGATTTTGTTAAAATTTCAAGCATCTACAACGAGTAGTTGCAGAGAAAACTGTGACGAAAATTTGTTATGTATGAAATGGACAGACGCACAGACAAACAGGAAGTTGACATCGGATTTGAGCGAAAATGTATCCCACCATATGGCATGCCTCAGAGAAGATTGTGTTAAAATTTCAAGCATCTACAAATAAGTAGTTGCTGAGTAAACTGCGACGAAAATTTGTTATGTATGAAACGGACAGACGCACAGACAAACAGGAAGTTGACATCAGATTTGAGCGAAAATGTATCCCACCATATGGCATGCCTCAGAGAAGATTGTGTTGAAATTTCAAGCATCTACAACGAGTAGTTGCTGAGAAAACTGTGACAAAAATTTGTTATATATGAAACGGACAGACTCACAGACAATAGGGCTGGGTATTGGCCCGAGATTTCGTATTGCGATATATTGCGATATTTGTAACTGTATGGCATGCCTTGAAAATATTTTAAATGTAATTTAAATGGCATTTTCTTACTATATTCAATTCAATTTACATGCAAAATGTACATAACTATGACAAGTAACCAACACACAAAAAACTGTTGATTTCATTAAAGTTATAAAAAAGTTGCCCACAAACAACTTCTGTATATTACTGTTTGGCTTAATAACACACCATTTTTATATAATTATATGGCAATGACAAAATTCCTTAAAAAAACACACATTGCCAATATATATATTACAAAAATCGTATTGCGATACGATATTTTTTGTCATTGTATTGCAATATATTGAAATATGACCTAATATTGCCCAGCCCTAACAGACAAACAGGAAGTTGATATCCTTTGAGAGAAACTAAATCAATATGGCATTAGATTGTGTTATTTCAATCTCTTACTGTTTGTAGTTTGAAAATAAGCAAGGGAAAATTTGACCTTTCTGGAGGACACAGACACACGGACAGACACACAAGGGTAAAACAGTATACCTCCCTCTCCTTTGGAGCGGGGGTATAAAAATATTGTTGCTTAACATAAACATATTATATCATGGGTCTATAACACACCAGGTAAACCTAATGGCATGCAAAATACTAAAAAAAAAACACACACTGAACACCAAATATCAACAAAAATGAACTGGTCTGCATGCTAATTCTCAACCACCTTCAAACCATGCACCTCATGCTGTTGTAAAAGCTTTATGTAACTCCTCCTTTGCCATAAAACTAAATCAATATAATTACATTTTATTTGAATCTCTTCCTGTTTGTATTGAAAATAAGCAAGGGAAGAATTAAATGACCTTTCTGTAGGAATGAAAGAGGAGTGAGCTTGAAGCTCACATACCCCACGCTCCCCTAAAACTCAAAGTGCTGAAAATCCTGGGAAAAGTAAAGGAACTGGAATTTCCTGGTAATATGCACATCTACATATTGTGTCCTAAATGTATACGAAGTTTGACAAAATCTGTGCAGCGGTTTATGAGGAGTTGCACTGACAAACTGTTCATTTCTATATTTCAAGGTATGCCCAAAAGTTCTGAATTTCCCAGAAAAAAAGGAATCAGAATTTCCTGGTAGTATGCACATCTACACATTGTTTACTAAATATGTGCTAAGTTTGACCAAATTCTGTGCAGCTGTTTAAGAGGAGTTGCGCTGCCAAACTGTTCATCCTTAAATACAAGGTACGGCCAAAATTCTAAGTTGAAAAGTACCAAAATTTCCAGTAAAAATAAAGGAATTTACACATACGTGTCCTAAATATGTGCAAAGTTTGACCAAACTCTGTGCAACGGTTTATGAGGAGCTACACTGACAAACTGTTCATTTCTATAATCAAGATATGGGCAAACATCTAAGTTGAAAAGTGTTGAAATTCCCAGAAAAAATAAAGGAATCAGAATTCCTTGGTAATAAGCACATTTACACATTGTGTTCTAAATATCTGCAAAGTTTGACCAAATTCTGTGCAACAGTTTATGAGGAGTTGCACTGACAAAAAAAAAAAAAAAGGACTGAAGGACTTACTGACTGACGAACGAGTCAAAAACATACCTCCCGCAAACTTGTTGCGTGGGGTATAATTAGTGTACTTTCTTAGATTGACTTAGCATTATAGAATCATTTATTCTGTCTTACAGTTAAGATATCCTTGCCTTCAGTTCTACATTGATATGGTACCACAGTTTATCCTACACGACACTTTAACTATCCTAAAGGATACATTGATATGGTACCACAGTTTATCCTACAGGATACTTTAACTATCCAAATGGATACAATGATATGGTACCACAGTTTATCTTACAGGATACTTTAACTCTCCTAATGGATACATTGATATGGCACCAGTTTATCCTACAGGATACTTTAACTATCCAAATGAATACAATGATATGGTACCACAGTTTATCCTATAGGATATTTTAACTATCCTAATGGATACATTGACATGGTACCACAGTTTATACTACAGGGTACTTTAACTATCCTAATGGATACATTGATATGATACCACAGTTTATCCTACAGGATACTTTAACTCTCCTAATGAATACATTGATATACTGTATAGGGGGAAAATAACTCGCGGTGTTAATATTCGCTATATTCACGGTGATAATAAATCCGTGAATTCAAGAAACAGTGAATAATTTTTTCAATAATCTCGATGTTTTATTTGGAAAGTTGAGAATAGACTACGATAGGACGTGTACCACAGTACATGGTCATTTCAGTAATTACGAGTAGTACTTGTCATTCAATTATTTTAATTAGCACGCTTTACATGAATTGAAGTCAACGGATAATAACCTGTATTTGATAAAAGGCTTTTTAATAGCCAACGCTACGTTTCATCAAAACACGTGGGACATGAGATTTGATTATCCTTGCGTAACTAATGTTACCACGCACAGTGTGTGCATTACCTGCATTATCATGCATATTATAGTTTTTATGGACATTTTGATTTTAAAAAATCATTCAAAATGAAATAACTATCAAACTTACTGAAGATTTGGAAGGATATTATTTCGTGTACATGCACTCAACGTTATAGAATATAGGAAAGTTATTTGACGTTAATAGTCAAGGACTTTTGATAACTGCACCTGTTTATTTATTAAGTCTCACTATTTAATGTTAACCTACCCTGTTTGTTCGTGAAATATAAAGACACAACAACAATGATGAATGTCGTTTTCATGTAGCTATGGATTAAACGGATATGAATATCGTGTCCGATGAGGGAAATCCGTGAAAATTACAACCCGTGAAATTAATCCCCTATACAGTAGTACCACAGTTTATCCTAAAGGACACTTTAACTATCCTAATGGATACATTGATATGCTACCAGTTTATCCTACAGGATACTTTAACTATCCTAATGGATACATTAATATGGTACCACAGTTTATCCTAAAGGACACTTTGACTATCCTAATTGATACATTGATATGGTACCACAGTTTATCCTACAGGACACTTTAACTATCCTAATGGATACATTAATATGGTACCATAGTTTATCCTAAAGGACACTTTAACTATCCTAATGGTTACTGAAGTAATCATTAAGGATACTTTTTTTCAGCATAGTGGATACACATGCACTCTACACACTGTACATCTTTAAAGGAGAGTTACAATACATATATTTGGTAATCTGTTTTTGCCTGTACCTGATTTACCTTATTCTGTTTTTCACCGACTTTGTTTGGGCTCTGTATCTTAGACTTAGGATTGTTTTCTCTGGCTTTGTCATCAATGTAATCTTCCTCCTCCCCAATGTCATACTTTTTCTCTTCCAATTTTCCTTGTGCTTTTGGTGTTTGCAGCTTTTCAGCATCATCAATTTTTCTTCCGTTCTGCTGCCATTCTACTACACTATCACCACCTTTCATTAATCTAACTTTTGCAGAAGGAAGGACATTTTTAATACCATCACCCACTATTGAATTATCTCTTTGATTAAACATAACCAGACCTGAAGCTGGTAACTGCCTGCCTCGGGTCCTAGGCACATCTGAAGAAAATAACAGATATTCTTGTTGGTATACATAATATCCCTGCTTAAAAACTGATACAATTTAAACAAGAGGCCCAAGGGCCTTGAATCGCTCTTCTGATAAATGTACAATCTATCACTTCTATTCAAAGCCTTTAAGTATCCTGTACATACATGTATAAATAGAGCCTTGAAATTGCAAAATTAGGTCATCATGACATACATTTTGGTTAAAACACTCTGAGAGCTCAGGATAATCAACTAACAAAGTGTGATGATTCTAAGCCCCTTATTATCTGAAATATAAAGATATAGCCATGAGATTTTTAAAGTAGGTCACAATGACCTACTTTTTTGGTAAACATACTCTGAGACCCCAAAATGCCTCAAATGACAGTTTGATTACTTAAAGACTCTTATTATTCGAAATATTCAAACAATGCCTAGAAATTCCAAAAGTAGGTCACCATGACCATCTTTTTATTTAACACATTCTGTGGAACCAAGATGCTTCAACTGAAACATAGTTTCTTAGCTTAAAAGTACCTAAAATATTTTAAAATTTCTAAAGAATTTCAAAAGAAGGTCACCATGACCTACGTTTCAGTTGACCTTCTCTGAAGACCCAAGATGCATCAACTGACAAAGTCTGATGATTCTTAACCAGTTAGGACTGAAGATATTTAAATATAACCATAAAATGCCTTAAGTAGGTTACGGGGAACTACTTTTTTGGCTGAAATTTTCTGAGGACTCAAGATGCAATAATTGACAAAGATTGATGATTCTAAGCAATTCAGGACCTAAAATACTTGAATACAGCCATAAAATTTTTAAAATAGGCTCAGAAGAGCTAAAAACCTGTAGACTTAAGTAGATCAATTAATGTATTCCTTACCATTAGATATAACAACTATTTTCGGCTGAGATGAGTGGGAGATATTATTTAGAGAGTGATTTGTAGAATTACCTTTTCCTGCGGTCGTTGAGTTCTGGCTCTGTGCTCTGCCTACACCAGACAAAGACTGTTTGGGGTTCAGGGTCGTGTTCCCTTTTGATGTATCCATGTTTTTATTGATGTTAGTATTCTGTCCAGCAGTTTGATTTGCAGATTTTCTGGATCCATCTCCCATCTTTATATTCATTATGGAGCCAGTTGCAGGCTTTCCCGGTTTCTTTGTAGTTTGTTTTTGACTTGGCTGAACTGTTGGTGCTTTGTCTTTCATCCCTCCTGCTTGTTGTTGCTCATTTTGCTGGGCTGCCCCTGACTGTGGAATTTGTTGCTGTTGCTGGCCACTTTGAGACTGTTCACCCTCTCTTCCTTGTCTATATAAATGAATAAGCTTGTACAGTTTAATAGATTTATCTTTGACTTATCTAATTAATCAAATGACCAATATTTTATTATTTAATTACAGCCGTGTATATTGACTGCCTTACACAGAACTGATTTTGTCCTTAAACTCCAGGATATCCACTCCATTTTGACTCAGAGCCTGCAAGGCTTGGTAATAATGTAATTTTCCCAAAATGGCTAATAACTCCCTCTTCTTTTCTGTGCATTCTCTGAAAAACAAAACTTATTATGGTTACATGTATGATTTGATTTGAACACATTTTATTATGTACTGAAATATAATTGGATTGGGCAGGAGGCATAGTCTATATAAGCCCTCTCCACACAAAGTTACCTCTGTATATATATATATATATATGTTTAACACTTGTAAAAGTGCAAGCATATTTTAGGAACAATTATTAAACAGTTGTACAGTTAAATTTGATAATTTTCCTTGAGAGTAATCAGTTAGATAGTAGTATGATTGATGACAGATTAACAAGTGTAGGAGTTAATTAAATCACCGATAGATTAAGATTTTCAGATGAAGTCTCTGATCTTCATGTGTGTATCAGCTCATGTAACATTATAAAACACATGTAAGGGGGAGGAACTAGTAACTTTGTCCTTGTGGTTCAATTTGGCCAGAATAATCAACTTCATTTGAAATATCTACTTCTACCCCGTAAATACATGTACTTCAATTTGATTTCAATACATAATTCAACAGGTAAATGATTATTATTCATTGTCTCTACCCTTTTATGCCTCCATTCTTTATGTGTTTGATATGTCAACGTGTTTTCTTTCTCTAAATGTCTTGAATATATTAATAATCAAACTCTGGACTATGCATGATACAAAAGTACTGTAAACATATTACATTTGCCTGCGTATTCTTTTTAGCGCTTTTGGCAGAGAGAAACTTCCGCTAATTCAAGTACATCGCTTAATGTCTTCCACATATACACATAGATAAGAACATTGAGGAATGTGCTAAATCAAATCTATGCTAACTTGTCCAAATATCGTACACGCTAAATATAATACATTTACAGTATGTGAAGTCAGCCTGATACTTACAAACTACAATCTTGTTTCAGTCCAGTGGCAGTGGAAGACTTTTCACTTTGATACTTCTGTAACTTCTCTGTAGATATAAAACAAGATGTCTGTGAGCCAATATTCACTGTCTAGTAATACCCCCAATCTGAATATATGTTCTCATGAGAATATACACTGGTTCAGATGCGACATACACTTGCTACAAAAAGATGCAAGGATAGACAGGAAGTTGACATCAGATTCTTATATAAATAAATTCCCCCATATGGCATGCCTCAACAAAAGGTGTGCTAAAATTTCAAGGACATGTCTTGATTACATTGATAAGTTGCTGAGAAAACTGTGATGTTAATTTAGTATAAACAGATGCACAGATAAACAGGAATTTGGCATCCGAGCAATACAAAATTGAATCTCACTATATGGCATGCCTACACAGAGAGTATGTTAAAATTTCAAGCATCTATAATGAGTAGTTGTTGAGAAAACTGCCATGAAAAGTTTAACAGACAAACAGACAATTCTTGTGAATGTGGTTCAAATTTAGGGGGACAATAAACTTGCTATCGGAATGATGTAATTTTTGTTTTTATTATAGCCTTACCTTTGTATGTTGTTAGTTCTTGCTGAATGCCATTCATATTGTCTTCACTTTGTTTCTGTGAGCAACAAAAACAATACATACAAAATTTAAAAAAAAAAAATCACAAATTACATTTCATCTATATCTAGCTTTTCACAAGAAATTGTTGAGCATTCACTTAGATTAAAAAAAAACCAAAAAGCAAAGACTATTAAAGTAACAACTAAAACAACAGATTGGTCAAGTTTCTTAATAACATTGCTGTGCGGTACAATGTTTTAATTTGTTCACAGATTTATATTGTTCGTTGATTTTACACGATTGATCCTTCTTCATTATCTTCACCTTTTTCATTTCAGACATGAACCACAGGCCTCTGAATTTCCATAAATAAGCATATTACATGACTGATCACAGTATTTACTCCTGTCCCCCTCTATATAAATAAACTTGATATATCAATATACTGGGGTATAGGGAGAGTATTATTTTATTATACCGAAGCTGACTTTACTTTTGTCTGGACAATAGCAAGTTTATTGCCTCCTCAACAGCAACTACTTCCCTCAGCTGTGCGGCCTGTGCCTCGAGAAATAGTTGCTGTCTTGGGGGATTATAAATTTGCTATTGTCCTCATCAGGTCCAGTCCAAAGACTATTTCTACCTACGTAGCTATTAATAGCTACATAGGTATTTAAATCTACCCAAAGTAGCTATTTTTACCTACTTTCTGCTTTACTTGCATTTTGCGGCTTAACGCAGGAATGGCGTAACGTGGTGATCAATGAATTTCTTGATACAGTCACACTGATGATGGATATGACAAAAATTTGGCCAAGAAATGATAACTTCGTATATAATCAGTTTTGCATAGAAACTAATGTAAAATTGCAGATTCCGGAAGTAATCATTATTTGGCCAAAATTTTGTCGTATTCATCTTAAGACATTAGTGTGACAGTATAAAAAAATATGGTATTCACCATGTTGCCCCGTTCAGTTGGCCACAAATTGTAGATAATACAAAAAGTAGGTAATAATAGCTACTTTGGGTAGGTTTAAATACCTACATAGCTATACCAATAGCTACGTAGGTAGAAATAGTCTTTGGACTGGACCTGCTCATAGAATATGGTTTAGTTTAACTTTTAATGTAGAAAGTCCAAGGCCTGTGCAGAAACATACCACCTGATATCGCTGCATAGAATGAAATGTACCTATTCGTAATTTCTTTACTTAAAAAACAATGTAATATTTATAATATGTGCGTTTTGAATCGTGATATACTAACCAGTTTGCTGATGCATGCCTCCTTTGACGTGCCTAATTCACCAAGGTCTGTTTTTAGTTTCGTCAACTCTTGCTCTTTCGAGTTAATATTCTTCTCAAAATCTCTGATTCGGAGCATAGCATTTTCATTCTTTCTCTCCGAGTTAATTTTTTTGGAGGAGAGAATCCGTATCTGGTCCTGCAGGTCTGCCACTTCAGCTGAAAGCGAGGCATTGCTGGATGACAGGTTCCAGTAATTTGCCCCCAGAATAACCAGTGCGACAACGAGACCCGTAATCAGAAATGGGGGTGATCTCGACTGTGGTCTCATGGTCCCTCTAGCGTTTGCAGCCATAAGTGTTTAGAACGTGTGTCCCGTCAACACGCTAGCCTAGGTTGGTGTTTTTCTTGTTGCGACGTGTTGCGGAAGTCCGTGCTACGTACCCGGAATTCATTGGGTATCTTGATAACTTGTACGTGAAATGATTCGTGTTACTTCATTAAAACACGTAACAAAATAGAAAGAACCCGTACATATTAATAAGAAATTCCTCATTAGTGTGAGACTGAAGAAGTTATATCTGAATTGTTCCAAGTTTTAATAATCTATACATATTCTTATCATAACATTTTAGAGCATTGTAAATGTTATACAGCACCCTATAATCATGATAATGACTCCAACTCTCTACAGAAACTGAATCTCCCCTACGACAGACAGGACAGAGGCATAATTTGCAGAATAATCTATAATCATTAACTTTAGGATGCTTCCTTTATAAAAACTGAAAAAAATGGCTAACCGTGGCTTTTAATATATTTTTCTTAAATTTAACAAAAGTCCATTCAATCAATACAAATCAGGAGCAGAGCAAACACAGACCTCTAAAACATATGAGGTTTGATCAGGTGCCATTGGAGGAGTAAGCATCCCCTGCCAACCAGTCACACCCACTATGTGTTAATTCCTTAATTGTCAAGATCAGGAAGTGATGAAAATTAAAATCTGTTGACAATACACGTAATTTATATAAATATTAATGGCCTAACAATAAGTATGAAAAACATCAATAAAGACATGGTGATTGCAATATATACCCCCCCCCCCCACTTTGTTTGTGGGTGTGGTGTGTTTAAAACCGTTTCATTTGTTTTATGTTAATAGTGTTAAAGATATGTCTAAGGATGATTAATTTCAAATCTGAGTTATCTGACCTTAAATTTCCTTCTAGCATTAGGGCATCCAGAGGATAAAAGTTTTCTTCTTTTTTTTTTTTTTTTTGAAATTCGCAATACCGGGGGTATTTGTTGATTTTTTCAGGACAAACTTGGTTGCAGATGAGATTATATTTGTTTATAAATATCAGAAAAGATTTAGTGAACACTTCGACAGACAGGAACCCAGCTCCCGTTTGAATTTATTTTTTTTTTTTTAGAAATTTTGCTTGTACTATCTTAACATTGAAGAGGAAAACAAAAAACAACCTATTATTTGTTAGAATTTCCTCATTTTTTTCAAGGGCTTTGCCCCCGGACACCCAACAAGGCTTTGCACTGGACCCACTAGGGGCTTCCATGCAGCCCCCAGATCCCTGACCTTCTACTGCCCCCTCCCATGATGAAATTCCTGGATGCACTGCTGCATAGCCAGTTGACCTTCAACCCCCCACCCCCCATAGCAACGTGACCTTCAAAGTTAATACAGTACCAGTACACCAGCTTAGGTGAACTAAATAGAAAACATTAAACCATTTTTTTTTAAATTAATAAATTTCATTTGTAAAAAAAAAAAAAAAAAATCTGATCCAGCAGTTCAACTTTCAAACATAAACATGGTTCATCACTGCAATGAACTATAACAATAAAACTGAGCAATAGTTAAATGAAAAAGAAATTTATGTAAGCTACAAGTCTTAATGAACATCACAATGTACTACTTGTATAAAATGTATACATGAACATATTCAGATTTTGCAGAGTGAGCCTGTTAAATATTTCAAATTAACAATTAAAATTTAATTGGAAAGTTTACAAATAAAAATCTATGTGCATCTCCCTACCACTATATCTACATATACATATATAAATAATTATTATACATATTATACATAGGAGAAATTTTGCAAATACATGTATACCAATTTTTATCATATATATAACAAAGTTTACACTTTTATTCCACTCAAAAATACTATCTCTGCACTGCTGAAGTGTGTAAATATACAGGTTCCATAACTACCAGTAGTCCATGTTTGTTACCTGTGTCCAGTTTCTTTTTTTTTTTTTTCAAACTCCTGCTCCTTAGCTTTTTGTCCATGAAAAACACAAAGGCTTGCCCCAAAAATTTAAATGTTAAAGCCAGTGACTAAGAAAAACAAATCATGGAACCTTTTTATCCAATTACAAAAATTCTTCAAAACTATAGAGTCATCATGACTCCATGAAACACTCACAAAATATTTAGGGTATTCAAGTATAATTAACTACGTAACACAATGTACCATCAATGTTGTAAGCGAACCAAAAAAGTGCATCACATTGGCACACAATATGTCTGTCAGGGAAATATATTGAAATTTTATGCTTGATTAGGCATAGATAACTGTTTTATTGCCTTTTATTACATACTTAGTAATAAATACGGGTTTTTTGCATATGCGATATGGCTGACGTCACAATAGCCGTATCAGCCCTGCAGGGCTGATATGGATTTGCGGGGCTGATAACCTATATCAGCCCCGCAAATCCATATCAGCCCTGCAGGGCTGATACGGCTATTGTGACATCAATATCACACCCTTAGTAAATTAAACCACAAAAACAGTACTTTTGATCATACACAACTTTTGGTGGGTTCATATTCTCTTAATTTTAACTTTTTGAAAATAAGGTTAATCTTAATCAACAAATACTTGTAATAGGTTATTTTCAAATTACGGATCGAGTGCATTGAAATATATGTAGAAACAAACCCATATCGTATAAGACAACAGACCATGTACATGTATGTAAGAAGTTCATGCATGATTATTTACTTAATATTTTCTTCTCAACTTAATGTATGCTGTATTTTATTACTAAGTATGTAATAAATATATTAATACATACCTTTTTCCACATCACATCCTGTATCAGCCCTCGACCAATATCAGCCCTCGGGCCTTCGGCCCTCTGGCTGATATTGGTGTCTCGGGCTGATACAGGATGTGATATGGAAAAGGGTATGTATTATTCTCTATATACAGTGTATAACAGTTTTACAAACAAAATATGAAAGGATATTTATAAAGTTATGAACTACCAGCAGTATTTGAAGTAAGATTTAATGCCGTGATAATAAGGTGAATTCCTATGATGTCAGCATGCTACTGACATTGGTATGACATCATTGGTTTAAACAACTGCTTGCCAGGCAATTGATCACCAGTCAAAAAAAAATGCCAAAACTGTATTTAAAAGTCAAAACAAGAGAATGCTGTTCAAAACAGGCAATACTAGAAAATCAGGTAATATAAATTATACAGTATCTAATAATGCATTGTCGCAAGCCTGGTGGGAATAGAATGGACACAAAACCCATGGCTTGCTACGATGACAATAATGGTGTTTTACAAATTAATTCTACGTGCTCGTACAGTAAAAAACTCATCTAAAATACTTTAAAAATGATTGTGATGAACATTATGATAAAATAAATGAAAGTGGAATGCATGTTTTATTGAAGTTTTAATGGCTGGTATTTTTGGATACCATCAATTAATGCTCATTGAATTTGTTGTTTTACTGTATACGCGACTATTTTTGCCTGTAATATTTTCCCCCAATCACTTACATGTACAAGTACATGTATATAAATGAATATTGGGTGAAAATACAAATGTGTGTTTTTTTTAATAAAAAACAAGATATATACTGTAAAATCACATAATTTCGTGGGGTCAAATTTTCGTGGTTTGAGGAAAATTTGTTGGTTCGTGGGGATTTGATTTCGTGGATCAAGAATTATTGAGTACTTATGTGTGTGAAATTTTACATTTCGTGGTGGACATAAATTCGTGGGTCTCGTCATACCACGAAAACAACGAAAATTAAACCCCCACGAAAATTTGTGATTTCACAGTAAACATACCAGTGCATGTATGTTAATTATTCATTACTGGAATGTATCATTAAAGTATGTGGTCCTTATTCATTACTGACATATATCAAACCTGTATGCTCTAAAATATCATGCATTATTATTTTCAAAGAGATAACATATGTTTTATTGATAAAACTCAATTCAAAATGTAATATAATCACCTGGCAAAACATTAGTATAAGTATAAGCATATTAAATCCACTTGAGTCCCAAAATAAAATTTTAAAAACTGACTGGAAAATTCTTAAAATGATAACAGGACTGCATCAGTCAAGTACACTACAGGAGAATTTGTTCTAAATGTCCTCTCTGTTGTAGTACATGCAGTGGTCCGCAATGGTAGACTCAGCCTATCAACTTTGATGTCCGTAATCTGTATACATCAGACACCTCTATTCTCCATTGTACACTTCATGCTCTGTAGTTTACGGCTGCCATAATGAGACCCATGTATTCCTTCTTCTGAGTGTCAATATCTTCTCCTTTCTGACCAGACTCATACCTTACAGAGAAAAATAACAATTTATTCAGAGTTTTCGATTGAGATTGTTTTTTTTTTTTTAAATGGGCCATATGCAAAATACAGCCCACTTAAAATAGAGCAAAATACTACACAAACTAGAGAAAATTGCTGCAAACTTAAACAAGAACATAACACTATACGCTTAAACTACAGCAAAATAATGCAAATCTGAAATAGAGCAAAATATTGCACACTGATCATATTGCTGATCATGTATCTTGGAGCTCAGGTAAATTAAAACATAAATAAATGATAATAAAAGCTAAAAGTAATTTCTAAAAAACTTGAATACTTACGCAAAAAAGAAGCATGTACAGACATAGTCAGACTACGGGATATAAACATGTACATAGAATACTTACACAAAAAAGAAGCGTGTACAGACATAGTCCGACTCAGGGGATACCCAGATAGATCCAGACCTCTTCAGAGAGGGATGTGTGATCACTACAAAAATCAAATTGAAAAGAAAACAAGAGGCCCAGGGGCCACATCGCTCACCTGAGCAATTATCTAGGAAAAAGCACATATCAGATCAGAACTGAAAGTTTCACTGGGGGGGGGGGAAAGGGGGCTTGAATTTTAACCCACCAGTGGGTCATGATTTGAACAAACTAGAATCTACACTACCTGAGGATGATTCCCTATAAATATCACTAAGCATGGCTTTGAAGTGCTTGAAAAGAAGATTTTAAGAGGTTTCCCTATATATTCCTATATAAAACTTTTATCGGCCATTTGGCCCCACCCTACCCCCGGGGGTCATGATTTGAACAAAGTCGAATCTGCACTACCTGGGGATGATTCCACATGAGTTTCATCTTTCCTGTCTCAATGGTTCTTGAGAAGAATATTTTTCCTATATATTCCTATGTAAAACTTTGATTGGCCATTTTGGCCCCACCCTACCCCTGGGGGTCATGATTTGAACAAACTTGAATCTACACTACCTGAAGACATGTGTATAGCCCAATCCACTTAAAAAATATGGGCAAGGTTAAATCCGTTGATTCCACATGAGTTTCATCTTTCCTGTCTCAATGGTTCTTGAGAAGACTTTTCCTATACACTCCTATGTAAAACTTTGATCGGCCATTTTGTCCCCACCCTACCCCCGGGGGTCATGATTTGAACAAACTTGAATCTACACTACCTGAGGGTGATTCCACATGAGTTTCATCTTTCCTGGCCCAGTGGTTCTTGAGAAGAAGATTTTTAAAGATTTTTCCTACATATTCCTATGTAAAAGTTTAATCGGCCATTTTGGCCCCACCCTACCTCCCCGGGTCATAATTTGGACAAACTTGAATCTACACTACCTGAGGATGATTCCACATGAGTTTCATCTTTCCTGGCCCAGTGGTTCTTGAGAAGAAGATTTTTAAAGAGTTTTCCTATATATTCCTATATAAAACTTTGAACGGCCATTTTGTCCCCACCCTACCCCCTGGGGTCATGACTTGAACAAACTTGAATCTACACTACCTGAGGATTATTCCACATGAGTTTCATCTTTCCTGGCCCAGTGGTTCTTGAGAAAAAGATTTTTAAAGATGTTTCCTACATATTCCTATGTAAAAGTTTGATCAGCCATTTTGGCCCCACCCTACCCCCGGGGGTCAAAATTTGGACAAACTTGAATTTACACTACCTGAGGATGATTCCACATGAGTTTCATCTTTCCTGGCCCAGTGGTTCTTGAGAAGAAGATTTTTAAAGATTTTTCCTATGTAAAACTTTGATCGGCCATTTTGGCCCCACCCTAGCCCCAGGGGTCATGATTTGAACAAACTTGAATCTACACTACCTGAGGATGATTTCACATGAGTTTCATCTATCCTGGCCCCGAGGTTCTTGAATATAAGATTTTTTTAAAATGCCATTAATTTTTCATTTATTCATAATTATCTCCCCTTGTAAAAGGGCGTGGCCCTTCATTTGAATAAGCTTGAATCCCCTTTACCCAAGGATGATTTGTAGCAAGTTTGGTTGAAATTGGCCCAGTAATATAAGAAGATGAAAATGTGAAAAGTTTACGACAACAACGACAACAACGACAACGACAGACGACGGACAAATTTTGATCAGAAACGCTCACTTGAGCCTTCGGCTCAGGTGAGCTAAAAATCAGAACTGAACAAATTTGGTGAAAATGAAGTTTACAATAACATCATCAAGAAATATAAAGTGTTTACTGGCATATGTACTAACAAGTTTACTCAAAAAGGATTTGTCTTATTATGGCCTGAACAATATGCATGAATTTACCTTCACACAATGCAATACAAGTCATGCTCACTCCATGGTCCAGAAAACGGGACTGGGACTGCAAAATATTAACAAGTACATTTCTCATAAGTAGACACAAATGGAAACTTTATCAAGAATGAACATGAGGCCAGTATGGTCTAATCTCTAACAGGCCTACAGAATCACACTGAATGCACTGTCAATTAATCTCCAGGATTTAATAAAGCTTGCATGTGGATTAAAATAAAAGTATAGTGTATTGTGTATTACCACATAAAACAATGGATCATTATGGTTTTATATTGATACAAAAGTGGACTTTATTACACCATTAAAATGAAAATACAAGATATCAGACATTTCATAATTAGACTAACTGGCCTATCATGTTGTATCAATCAGTTGTACTGTCTGGTCAACTCTTATTAAGGGATATTCCAAATGTATAAACATGCCCATGAACATGGGATCCTTATATTTTCTTTGGTTTGTAACCTTGTGAATGGTGTAAAATGCAAACCCATCAGTCACAAAGGAAAAAGGAAAGTTTCCAAATATGCCACATGTTACATGCTGACATGTTCAGAAATAACATCTTGAGCATGTATAGCAGGAAAAGAATGACCATATGGCATGATAAGTGAATATGTACTTAAGTTTCTTATATTTTCTCCTTCATTTCTAGAGTGCAAGAAAGATAAACCAGAAGTCTCTGTCGAGACTGAAGCTCTACTGGTTTGAACTTATAGCAAAGGAAGAGAAAAGTACTTAAGCAGCTGGGATTTGAAACTAAATAGAATAATGATCGTTGATAAAGTCTCTTTATGTTCTTAGTGTAGTCTACTTGTGTGCCAAGTTATACTGAAATCAGACCAAAACTGTAGGGGGAGTAGCATTTTGAAACAATTTTACAGACATTTCTATTTTTAGTAACCAAGGCAACACCGTTCATCGAAATCAAAAACCAATATACAGAATTATGTATCTTAGTGTATTCTACTTGTGTGCCAAGTTATACTGAAATCAGACCAAAACTGTAGGAGGAGTAGCATTTTGAAACAATTTTACAGATATTTCTATTTTTAGCAACCACGGCAACACCGTTCATCGAAATCAAAAACCGATAAACAGAATTATGTATCTGAGTGTAGTCTACTTGTGTGCCAAGTTATACTGAAATCAGACCAAAAGTGTAGAAGGAGTAGCATTTTGAAAGAATTTCACAGAAATTTCTATTTTTAGTAACCACGGCAACACCGTTCATCGAAATCAAAAACCGATATACAGAATTATGTATCTTAGTGTATTGTACTTGTTTGCCAAGTTATACTGAAATCAGACCAAAACTGTAGGAGGAGTAGCATTTTGAAAAAAATTCACAGAAATTTCTATTTTTAGTAACCACGGCAACACCGTTCATCGAAATCAAAAACCGATATACAGAAATATGTATCTTAGTGTAGTCTACTTGTGTGCCAAGTTATACTGAAATCAGACCAAAACTGTAGGAGGAGTAGCATTTTGAAAGAATTTCACAGAAATTTCTATTTTTAGTAACCACAGCAACACCGTTCATCGAAATCTAAAACCGATATACAGAATTATGTATCTTAGTGTATTCTACTTGTGTGCCAAGTTATACTGAAATCAGACCAAAACTGTAGGAGGAGTAGCATTTTGAAAGAATTTCACAGAAATTTCTATTTTTAGTAACCACGACAACACCGTTCATCGAAATCAAAAACCGATACACAGAATTATATATCTTAGTGTAGTCTACTTGTGTGCCAAGTTATATTGAAATTAGACCAAAACTGTAGGAGGAGTAGCATTTTGAAAAATTGTTTTATAGACAGACGGACGGACGCCGGACGAATTACTATCGCATAAGCTCTCCTGGTCTCTGACCAGTAGAGCTAAAAATGCTTAATTCACAAATTCATATAATGAAACAAATTGTAACTGTATATAGACATTGTACATGTAAATAACTTAATATAAAAAAAAAACATCTTGGCAGAAAAACCCCCAGACTAATAACAATTATGAAATACATGTAAAACAATATGAAATTTTATTAAACATGATTTTGTTCCTCAAAATTCTGCAATACTAATACATATACATGTATAACTAGTAAAATACAGATAAAACATGAGATGTTTGTAAAACACTTATACCCCCCTCCCCCCCAAATAATTGGAATTTTCTAAGTCCAAGGGACATAACTCTGTCCAAAATGGTCTGATCGTACCAAAAACAAATCTAGACCTAGATATTGTTATGATAAATCTGTATACCAAATTTCATTTCAATATGTGCAACCCCTGCAAAGAAAATGAACGAAAACTTCAAATAATTGGAATTTTCTAAAACCAAGGGACATAACTCTGTCCAAAATGGTCTGGTCGTACCTAAAACAGAACTTGACTTAGATATTGTTATGATAAATCTGTATACCAAATTTCATCTCAATATATGCAACCTTTGCAAAGAAAATGAACGGAAACTGATGGTGGACCGACAGACAAACCGACCGACCAACAGACAGACAGCATCAAAGCAATATGCGCTACCTCCTTCGAAGGGGGCATAAAAAATCTGTCCTATTCTTACCAGTCTCATCATTGCTACATGACACAATGTACTGAATAAGTCTATCTGTAATGCTGTCTAATAATAATACATGTACATTTACACACCTATATTCAACTGAAGCTCTGCTAGGAAAGCCTGTTAATGCTGCATTCTAGCATGAGTAAAACTGTACACAATGGACAAAGAGGAATAACTCACCACTGATGACTTGGTTTTTTGGTAGCCATAGCCCATTCTTGAATAACCAAAAGAGGTACTGGAGTGTGGGCTCAGATAAATCCCCTTTCCATAGGCAGCTCCATTCACCTAAAGGTTAAACAAAGATAAACATATGTACAGTCAATTCTCGAATTATCGCCATTCGATTCATCGCCATTTTCGCTATACCGCCATGATTTGCCAAGAACGTTTTTCCTGCTATATAAAATTCTCTTTATAACGCCAAATTCGCATACCGCCATCCGCCACCCTGTTTTCACAACAAACGTCCATTTTTAAGTGTCAATTATCTCGATATACCGCCTCAGGTGCATGTGGTCAGTGAAGCGCGGCTAATTGGTTGACGCTATCCCTGTTGTAAAGCATGCAAAGCCAGGCAAGGTACATGCAATTAAATAATTAAATAAGAATTAAATAAACAATGATTTTAACATGAACTGTTATGATAATTTTGTTTTCTGTTTAATAAATATCATTTAGTGACGGCTTTGCCACGAAGGCGGTCGTTGTTTAAGAACACAGATAACGATATTATTTTGATGATCTCTGCGTTAAACAATGCAAAATTTGCTTAAAAAATAATTATACGGTATAAATTGTGAACGTTTTATTAACAATGATGCCTTAAACAATGAATTTATTCAAGAATTCATTTTACATATTATCGGCAATACATCACGACGATCGACCCAGCATTTTTTTTTCAATATCAGTCGTGCAGATTTACATTCATCCACATGTGCTTGTCTTTATTTCATATCTGCACATTTTGTTTTAGCGAAATTGTACATAAAAAATTACTTGAAAGTATTTTAAAACTTAGAAATATGTTTTAATATGTACATGTACATGTAATAATGAGAATAGAAACGCTAAATTGTATTTCTAAGAACGGTAACTCTACTTCTGGTTTCCTAAACGATGGGAAATTCAATTCATCGCCAAATTCGTTATACCGCCATGATTTCTAAATTACAAAAGGTGGCGGTTTATAGAGAATTCACTGTACAAGGCTCAACTGAATATCCTGAATCAAGATTGTTCCTGGGAGACCAATTAATGGTTCACTTTATGCATAAAACGGCTCTGTAGATATACCAATTGATTGATTAACAGTTGATTTTTGATTTGAAGGATTAAAATAAAAAAATAGAGACTTAGTACTTTGATTTCCTATTAAAAATTTTCTCCTAAAAGTAAGGTCTTGGAGAACTGGTTTTCTGAAATTGCAATGTTCTTGAATTTTAATGTAAACAGAAATAATTGAGTACTTTCAGTGAAGAAATTACCGGTAATATCAGCGCACTCTCTGATCTAAAAAATAAAACATGTCTTTTAATCCCCAGAAACAGTTCTATCATTTAGTAGTTGCATATTTTAGATCAGAGGTTGCGCTCTATATCAAATATCGTAAAATAGCTTTAAAAATGGGCCTTTTTTGTAGACTTTTTCAGAGTATGAGTAAATTGACACATTTCATGACGTCATAATGTTCTTTAACGGGGTCATCCTTAACAACAAATTAGCATCCCTACAGACAATAGTTTTGTTAATGTATTGCCTGATTAAAAATCTTCTGTATATACATGTTGCTCTGATTAAATCTTCTATATATAAAGTTGCCCATGAAATTACATCTCTGGGAATTGGTTATTCTTGATTTCCACTTACAAGGAAAGGCATCCTACACTATGGTATTGTGTCTACCCAGATTATTACTTGACACTCTCATGACCCACTTCTGGGCTTGGGCAAATCTATTCATTCTCAACTAGGATCAACTTAAAAGCCAAAATAAATGCAGAATAATTATTTCTAACATAACAAAACTGATCAAATATTGTCATAAGTATAGAGATCCAAATTATTGTCGTGATGAACTCTCTTATACTTAAAAATAAATGCCTGAAAATGATTTAAATTTTAATCAATTATCCCAAATCAATGAAATTAATCATCAAATTGAAAGTGATTCCGAACACAGTTTTGGATGTAAGGATTATGTATCAAGATGCATGTAGTTCTAGGGTCCATAGCTTTGTTTCTGAAGCTGTTATCAAGATACATGTGTATTACCTAAATCCACCTGTAGCCTTGTTCATAATGCTATTGTTATTTTAAAGATACATGTGTATTTTAATACCTGAAGCCTTGTTCCTGATGCCACTATCAGGCCCTCTCTGATGATGGAGTGCCAATTTTCTATACTTGACCCACTGAAATGATCCAAATGAGATATCTTATTACTCAATTCAATGTAAATATAGTGAGTACATTAGACCAATGGTGTACATATGATTTTAAGGGGATGTGTATACAACTCACTGGAAAGCAAATGTACTGCCATGATTCTTCTTTAGCTCTCTGAAGACCTTTTCCTTGGCTGGAGGACTGTTTAACAGCAGATACTGATGAGGGGTTTTCATGAATTCCAGGCACTGTCAAACGCAAATCAAAATTAAGCAATCTGTCTAAATGTTCACTTTATCATAGAAGTAATCAATAAAGCAATACAAACAGAATGGGAAATCATGGAATAAACTATACATATTTAAATACATATAAATATAAAACTAGGCAATACATTTGATCAAATTAAAAGGTCCTCAACCGTAAGTCAATGGATGTGAGTATATATAATGATATCTACTTTTATTATTTCTCATTCCACTGATCTATCTTACCCTTTCTTTTGGAAGCTTTATCTATTTTCATTATTTCTCATTCCACTGATCTATCTTACCCTTTCTTTTGGAAGCTTTATCTATTTTCATTATTTCTCATTCTACTGATCTATCTTACCCTTTCTTTTGGAAGCTTTACAATGTGTGATCTGTTACTTGAAATTATCCTGTAAAGTAGACTTCTGGTTAATCAGTTTTTCAAATACCGGTAAATCATAATATCTATCATAAGATCAGGATAAGATAAGATAATATTTATTTAAAGTCGGGTACATCAACAAAGAACATTAGATCTGAAGAGCTATTTTCCAACTACATGAAGAGCAAAATAGACACCAAAGGTTATATAACACTGAGGATCAAGAAAATCTTTTGATAATCTTTATACATTAACCATAGTTAATATATCATTCAAAACATGCAAATTATTTCAATATACAGTAGCCATTTTGAAAAGTTATCTCTCCAAAGATCGAACAAGAAAAACAACAAAATAGAGGTCAAGTGAGTGACTCCAGTAACATAATAATAAAATTTTTAAAAAATAGTCTTAACAGAAATACAAAGGCCTGATATATAACACTCGTCAGAAATGAGGATAAAGGGTTTCATAAATTATTTTAATTAACTGCCATTTTGATATTGTTCTTTGTATAGTACTTAATTACAACCATGACCTAATGTTATACGATCGACTTACGATAGGGCGCAGTAAACAAATATATAGTAATACTGGCATTACTACTCAATTTCGTCGGATATATTGAAAATAAAGCTAAGATTAAGAAATTCAATCTTTATAGTCTTGTTGTATTCGTGTTTATTTTGTAATCACTTTACCGTATTTAAGATTGTTTGTATTACATTCATCGGTCCCAAAAATTCAATATATTCGACACACCCTCTCGAAATCATTGCAACAACCATAACGTTTTTCTTGCGTAAAAATTAAACATAATATCGTTGTTTTGTAGTAGTATTAATTGAAGATACAATGGATTTAATTCAAGCTATTATTCATTGTGAACGTTTTAGAAGAAATTAGTTTACAGCTGTTAAAATAAAAATAACAAACCCAAAATAATTAATTTGGTCAACCAAACAAAATAATACATGATGGTCATCGCTTATCTATAATAGTGAACAAAATGCAGATTACATGGAATATTAGTTTTTGATAAAATTATTTCTTTCTGTTGCATTGACAAGACAAGCTTCAACATCATTATAAAATTCCCTGATCGCATTCTTTTGCGTTTTGGAGAAAAATCACTGGACTCAAACGGATCAATTACTGCTGTATGCTGCCTGTATATCATCGAATGTGTACTCAAGTTAATCTCAAAATTCTTAGCTTTTCGAATTTAGGCTCTTCAATAGCCATAACTAGTTTGTACAATAAGTTTTAAAGTTTAAGTTTTTCTTTTTCTGTGGGGTTCTTCGATTATGTTTTAAAACCTCAATATATTGGCATACATGAAAAACAAAGAATTTAACAGTGATTAATTTTATTTTGTAAAGGCAGTATAAAAACAAGTTAGGTGAAACTTATTAATTCACACCTTTGTATATCAGTCAGTCAGTCAGGTATAATTACGAGTACTGCCACCAACCGCAACGACAGCCGCCAGGGAGTACTTCAATATAACCGTTATGAAAACAACTCATAATCACCTTTCGGGACTGATCAGTGGCTTCCATATAAGCGATATTTCAATATAGCCGATTTCAATATAACCGTTATTTTAATGCAAAGAATATGAGAGGCTGAAACTGGGGATTTATTTTTATTTCAAAATAAGTGGAATTTCAAAATAAGCGATTTCAATATTAGTGGAGTAAGCTGTAATTTGTCTTAATATAAGTACCATACCACTAGTCTTACCACTGAAGACTTGTATTATAACTGAAGATACATGTAGGTATTAGCTTTACTACAAAAGATACACAGAGAGAAAGGACTTACCACTGGAGTAAAGGATAGGCCAGTTTGTTTTGAACATCCAGGCCCTTCTTTATATTAGAGGAGTCAGTTCTAACTAGTTGTTCAGTGGGAGGGATGCAATCCAAGATCCTCTTCACCATATCATAATCCTTGGACTAAAACAATGATTAGCTGCAATAATGTAGCCCTCTCCGATTTTTTTTAAATCTGATATTTCTCCCCCCCCCCCCCCCCCCCCCCAAAAAAAAAAGGAGAGGGGTTACATTTCTGCAGCTAAACAATGATGTGTTCCAGTTTAGTGTATTTAACAATATTTATACCATGCAGTATAGCATGTGTTAAAATTACCAATATCTATCTATACAATGGACAAACATTCACACAAAAAATCTGATCACAAAATAAAAAGATGTGTATAAATATGTTAAACTGAAAACTTGTTTTCAATTATGTCCCACTAAATATACGCAGAGATATACTGTAAAACATAGACACATGGACAGACAGATGACAGACAAAATGTGTTCAGAAAAACTTACTTAACTTTTCAGCTCAGGTGAGCTAAAAATACTGAGATGGAATTTGTTTGATTCTTATATAAATACAGCATTTCATGCATGACCCTAATTATGGGAACAGGATTTTATTTACTCTATAAATCAAAATAAAAAGTTGCTTTTGCTCTTTACTTAGTCTTATCAAAGCCTTCAGGGGTTGAGAATTATGAAGTAGTGTAAATGCTTTTCTGCTGAATAAGTGAACAAGCAGTGTCGTCCTAATCTTACCTTTGGATTGAGGGCTAACTCAGTGGAGCGGGTGGGGTCTACCACTGTTGGATATGGACTGAATATAGCATTTTTTCTTGGAGAATTACATGCAGCTCGGGTCATGGCAATCAGCAAATCTACTACCTAAATTATAAGAAGAATCCACAAATAAAAATACCTAACACAAGGTTAAAATGGAGAATTTAAATGTCATTCAATGCTTTAAATATCTACTTGTGCCCCAGTTGCTACAGATTCTGCAGCATCAGCCATGACACCCAGCGTTTGGAATGCAAAAACACAGAGCTCCCGTGAACATACGGATGGCTGAAAGAAGAAATGGCAGAATAAGATTCTCCAAACACAAATTTGACATTCAGGCTTCACCGCTTTATCATGAATAGCTAAGATATTAAAAATGATACAATGTCATTGAAGTAGGAGATACTGTTAGAGATTGCAATTTGCAGAGAAATTGACGACCTGTTTTAGTAGTTGAGTTACCTGTACTAGAAAAATGTCCCATTCTACTAACCTTTAACATTGCTCCATTCTGAAAGACATGCGCATCATCACAAACAACACAGAACTCATTTAATGTCGGTAATCTCTGCCTGGCATACTGATAGACCTGAAAAAAAATCCATTTACATGTAACCTGCATTTTTTTTTGTTTTGTTTTTTTTTTTACATGACTGTATAACAGTAATTACTTACCGGTATGTAAATGTAATACAAGTATGTAAATTGAACCAGTCTTTTCAACAAATTTATTAACATTAGATTTGATCAGTCCTACTTATACTTTATATGTTTTAACATGTATTCTTTGCTCCGAAAGTATTAGACATGTAAGAAGTCTTCAAATTTATTAGACCTAGCTTCCTCAATATCCACTGGGGTATGGTACATGTCTAACTCAGAAGGTGCTTATTTTTACCGAGTAGTTTCATTAAGATTCTCTCAGATTGGAAAAATAGGTAGAACAACAATGTCCCCAAATATTTGTTCAGAGTTGAATTCAAAGTTCCCAGAGCTTCTCTCTTACAAATTTATAAACAAGACACCAAAAAATATTTTTCTCTAATTCAAAGTAATGGCAAGAACATAACTTCTCAAAAAGACAGACAGACAATGTGATTGCTTCACATCTCCAAATTTTGTTTGCAGGAGGTATATTTTTTTCCTCTTACCTGGATTAGAAAACCCAGATTTGGACTAGGAATTCTTTTGGAGTTTTTCCCAAACCAAGAGGACGTGGCCACTTGGGTTAGGCCATCTTCATCCTCAGTCAGATCGATGACTTCTTGGTCACTACTGGTCAAGCTTCTGGACTCCACGGAGTGCAGTCGACTGAACTTTTTAATGCGTTTTTTGCTGAGAGGGACTGATGCCTGACGATTGTAGAGAAGATTTTTACTTGAAGCTGAAAATGTGGAACACTCATCCCCTGGAGCCTGATTTGTCAATCTGTACGATAGAAAATAGCATCAACATGTTTATAGCATTGTCTAAACAAAATAATAAAATGTACGATAAATGAGATCAAAATGTTTATAGTGCTGTCTATACTAAACCTGAACAGTCTATATTAAACCTGAATAATAAATGACATAAAAAGTTTAAAGAATCGTCTTTACAGTACTTCGCTAATACAGTCTTAAACACATTTATAAATACACACATCCTGGAACCAGAACCTTTTTTCTTACCCATCAACTCTGCCTTTGTTGTCCATTAGGAACTCTAGTGCCCGTACAATGTCCCCGTTATTGTGTAGTAGAGACATGCTGGCCTGGTCAGCATTAAACCCCATCTCCATCAGACGGGCAATGTTCTTATCATTGCTTGTCACCGCTAAATTGTCAGCACTGAAGGCAGAACAGAGAACCTTATAATTATATAATTACTTTATATGTATGTAAGTACAGTAAAACACGGTTATAGCGAAGTCCTGGGGACCTGTTAATTTAATTCGCTATATCCGTAATTCGTTATATCCGTATAACGAATTCGTATAACCATATATAGCGAATTCGCAATATGCATGTTTTCCTTCAAGTGTTACTATCAAATATGTTAGGGAAGCAAATATTACAAAACATACCTTCGATAACTAAGGTTTTATTATGAATTGAATTTTATATACAAATGCTGAGAGAAAATAAAGTCAATTCAATTATTCAAATTTTGAAATCTTTGAAAGTTCGTTATAAAAGATGTAAAATTCATTATATTTAACCTCAACGGGACTCAAAATCAGTTCGCTATATCCGTAAATTCGTTATATCAGAATTCGTTATAACCGTAAAATTTTACAAAGATTTGTTAAGAATTTTGCCGGGGACCCAGAAACACTTTGTTATATCCGTGAATTCACTATATCCGTGTTCGTACTAAACATGTTTTACTGTACATGTAAGTACTGGTATCTTCACAAATAACATTCTTTCATTTATAAAAAACTTTCAAACTAAAAAAATCATGACATTGATTTTAAGTAACTTTATTTCTGGCAGAAAAAATCCGCTCAATTAGGAGTCAAACAACATGCCCAAAGATATAGATGAACTTCTGTATCTTGAATGCTGATATCTTGAATACTACGGATATGTCAAATGGATGTACATTCAATATTTCAAATCTCAATTTTTTTCCTTGGTTCCATCAGATTTGAGATAACCATGTAATTAATATGTATGTGCTCTGTTTTAAGTTTTTCTTTTGGACAATAAAACATTTGCCTTGATGCACATTCATGCAGTCAGTGTATCAAAAATCATTTTGATTGTACTTTTCTATGTAAATCTACTTACCTTAAAATTTATCAGGTGAAAGAGAGTTACCCATCCCCCTCTTTCAAATAGTAGTGATGTAGTGGCTGTAAATTGTGATAGATAGCTTTTGAATGCCTTACAGACTGTAGATTGTACCTTGTGGCTTGTGATTTTTGCTCTGCCTCCTCAAACATCTGTTGTAATAAGGCATTACTGACTCTGGGCCACTGCTCATTGACAAAGCTTGTCAAGATCCTACAAATCAGCAATGGTCAGTATATATGTGTACACCAATCTCTCTGTATACATGACTTATAAACTTCACATTAATGTCAATCTCAACAATTTTAGTGAGAGGGAAACTTACTTCTGCAACTGGCTCACGATGCCACTTTTTGATGAATGCAACACCTGTAATTTTGGAGGGCCTGAAAATTGAGCAAATCTATATAAAGTTCAACAAATAAAAATATAATACATATATAATTTAAATATTTTCTTAGTGGTGTTATAGAGTCTAAATATTCAGCAGATTCTGACAAATATCAATATTCTGAAACTCTTTTTTATAGGATTGCAGAGGAAATCAGTGGACAAACAAAAAAATTGAACACATTCTAGTAAATAAATTGCCATTTAATTATGGTACTTTTTTTAATGTACCTAGTGCCTTAAGTAATGAAACTGTAGATGTATAAGTGAATTAAAAGAATAAAAGAATTCAATGAAAAACACAAAAACATTTCCTGTGCCTCAAATGTTAAATGCAATAATCAGAAAAGCAATGTATATGTACTGGTACTTTGGATTTTTCGTAATTCATTTAACATTAAAAGCAATTACTTTCTACAAAGGTAAGTTTAATTGAAACATGGTAAACAATTGTTTTTAGCCACAACATTTTTCAATCCAACATTGTTTTTATATTTGATGTGGGTTATTGACTTTTAATTCATGAAACTTTGACAATTTCTCTGTTCTAACAAAACTTCACCAGGTAAGAAATTTGGTTTATCTCAGACAATAACATACTGGGTACGTCCAGGTAGGCTGACATTGACAGGTTTAACCTAATTACCAAGGGCTGCGAACAATCCAAATTCCAGGCATCTATAACTTCTCTCTGTAACATAAAACAAACTATAAACAAGTATTCAGATCATCAGCACTTTGAAATAATTTACCTGATAGACTTTCCAAAAATGTTCAAAAATTTATGACTGATGCAAAGTTGTCTGAGTGACCAAGAATATTATAAAATATTGTAAAACACACTTTTTATCTACAGAATGGAAAACCCTTTTATCTTACCTCTAATAATGAAGTAAGGCAAATTTTTATTTCAATGTCTATCTCATTTATGGATTCAAAGGTTCTAAAAAGGAAAATGAAGTCAATCTCAATTATAAATCCCACTGTCCCCAATACAAACTAAAGTTTTGTGAGCTCATTCTATGAGGGAGCTAACAAAATAATATCCCACTTCCACAAAATATTATTATAACTTATTATAAATATTCTACACAACATGTTATCTGATTTGTTCTAGCTTATCATGTGATCGGGCCGTAAAACTTCATATTTCACGGCCGTCGGCATGCTTTTCATCATATTCCACCTCTTCGGATACTGCATTTCCCGCAATAATTATCGTTCATTTAAATAAAACTCCCGAGAGAAGTAGACGTCACAATAGCCTGGTTTACGTCACAAAAATGACCAAAGGGTTTTAGTAACTTTACGTTAAAAATGAAAGTGAATTTGAGAGTGGTGCCGAATTTGAAAGTTTAAGTTTATTGCAAAGGTTTTACTTGTTTCGGTATAATAAACAATTCATTGCATGATAGTGAGGGAAACATGAAGACTTATTCAGCCAAGAAATATCATATTCCCCTCGGGCGAAGCCCTCGGGGAATATGATTTTTCTTGGCTGAATAAGTCTTCATATTTCCCTCACTATCATACAATAAATGTATAATATTCCAGGCCTTTTTAAAAAAAAAAATTGTTTGGTTGTCCTGTCCCAATCAGGGCTCGACATTAACTTTTTTTCCTACTCGTCCATTCGGACAAGTGACCAAGATATTTACTTGTCCGAACTTCAACTTCACTTGTCCAAAAATTTTTCAATGAATATGATTATCTTAATTCTTCTGTCAACTTGAAAATAAATACTTAAAAAATTACACGTGCTTGATTTATTAGTGTTGTTATTGATAAATAAGACAAACACCTATAAAATAAAATTTTATCTAGACTTCCTGTCCTGACAACAACATAAATGTTCGCAACTGAATTTGTAATAACAATCAAATATATTTCAAACCCGCAAACGTCGTAAGATCCACGCCATGCAATAGTATGGCTGCAATTAGTGAACATCAATCCCGATCAAGTGTGAACTTACATAGCGATTGATATCGGGATCAAAATTCAGGTTTGTGTACTGCTTCCATTTTTATTCGATAAACTTTTTTTTCATTATTATTATTTGAAGACTTCTTTACATAGAGTAATCACTTGTCCAATCGGACAAGTGCCCAGCAATATTCACTTGTCCGTATTTTTTTTTCATTGGTACGGGACAAGCGGACAAGCAGACAAGCAGACAATTGTTAATGTCGAGCCCTGCCAATTGATTGGTTAAAAATGATCTGACAAAACTTCCTTTTTTTAACCTGAATTTTTAACCTCCAGGAAACATTTTTTTCCTTACATGTACTCTGAAAAATATAATCAAAAAATTGGCATTGCATCAGACTGTAGTTTCTACACCACTTCTGAGGAGTTTTTTTGTACAAACCTGTAGTCCATCACATGATCACCATAACATCCTGTCAGTTTTTCCATATCTAGAGCAAGCACAGGGTTTATCTCCACATCTTCATTTCTGTCCTGTAAGGAAAAACTTCAGAATTAAATTATAAAAGACAATAAAATGTAATTACGAAAATACAAAAAGCAGGAAGGGATTAAATGGCATTCCAAGGAGTTGGAATGTAAGAGGAGTGAGTTGTGTATCATTTGTATTAAGTTTCTTTGTCCCTCTATCTATTTACATAAAACTAACTTTACTAAGAGCTAATGATTTCCAATACAAATCTATATAAACATGTATTTCATAATTATAATGTACACAATTTTAGCATACATTGTAAAAATTTGACTGAAAAAGAATAATTATAGATATTTGTAACAGTGACAGTTATCTCTCTTCTCAGATGTTAACTGAACCTTAAATTGCTTCAGTACCTCCAACAACTGATAGTAATCATCTATGGCATCTTCATCATCATCATCATCGCAGTCAGAGTTAAGCTCGGCCTGACAATCTTCATAGCAAGAATCATCTGTTTCAATGCTCTCTGATCTCTCCAAATTATTGTTTAAAACTGAAATGTTTACAAACCTATAATCACTAATCTCTTAGTAACATAAAAGAGAAAATGACACTGAAGATATGTTTATCTTCTGTTTAGAGTCGTAAATATGTTTCACGAAGGACTCTTATTTGTTTCGTACCTCTGTTTAGGGCCATAATGATGTTTTTAACAGTGTCATTACTATGCTCGGAATGGTCCGGGTTATCTGGTCTTGTTATTAAAGTGTTTTCTGTTCAAGAATAAAAAAAAGAACAAACGCTTACAAACAAGCTACAATGTTTCTATCTCTGATAAATGAATCAGAAAAAGTTAAATGGTCATAACCTGGATAGTCTTCAGAAATGCAGATGGTGACTGGTTGTTTACAGTTGTTTTTTATCTGAACAAATGACAAGGAATTATCTGTCTGATGAAAGTCTGCAAAGAAAGGAACACAAACCTTATCAGTCTCTCCTATTTTTGAATATAAAATGTTGGAAGTACAATTATCATTAAAAAAAACACACACACAATGATCTCCCCATTCTCAATAATTTCATATTTGCAAACAAAATTTAAATGGTAAATTCCATCCTTTTAGATAATTTTCAAGACTTCAGTGATATGAATTGAGGTTAATATTTTTCTTGAAAACTTGCAAGCCAATGGGTAGGCCAAATGCAAGTATAACGCTCTACCTAGAGTTAAATTCCAATGGCAGAAGAAGAAATGCAGAATTTCAAGCAGTTGGAAATTTTATCTTTTTTTTCACTGCTGATTAATATCATCATTTAAATATTTTATATCTTTGTGAAGTTTTAGGACTTCACTGAATAATTATTATGTAGCCATAAAAATTATGAGAACTCTTGATACATTACCTGTAAATGGCCACTTATATTTCTCACAGAGTGCAATAGCACTATTGACATCCTCTGCAAATTTTTGTTGACGCAGTGTCATTTTCTTCTTACTTCACTGCATCAGGCAATATTTCATGTAGATTATCTTACCAATTCCTTGCCTTTTTGTAAGTACTGGAATTTTCTCCTTAAAAAAAGACAGATTAGCCTATTTAATGAAATTGAAAGTAAAATAAAAGCGGGGAAATCCTTTGCATACACTCATGATACAGGCCCTCTGCTATAAGATTATGTGTTGTCGTTAGGTGATTTAAATCAATTCAAATTTACCTGTTATTTCACTGATCAATAATTGGATGTCTTAATTTCATCCTTTTCTGCTTTACAATTAAAATAAAACTTATAAAATAATTTTAAAAACAAGGCAAACTGTTATTTCAAGATTTGTGCAATCTTTGAATTAATTTTAAGTAGGTCGAACCCGATTGAAATTGTTCAGTAGATGAGGTTGTACTCTCGTTCAACCAGACGCTCGGCTGTCTGTAAACTCCACCTCTGGCTGGTCGTAGATTTGCGGAGACAGCCGAGGGTCTGGTTGAACGAGACTAACTACATTGCCCTTATTTGACCTTACTGTAACAAAAAGTGTGCCCCTCGCCCCCGGCAATACTACGTGCCTGTGGTGAAGTTTACCTTGGATTCGTGTAATTTTAGCTCGCCTGTGCTTTTTCCTGAAGTGCATGTGTAACCTTGACCTTGGAGAGGACTTATATAGGCCATGCCTGATGTCCAATCCAATTATGTAATTTTACATAATAATATATTGATTAAATTAAATTAAATTAAGTGCATGTGTAGCATTGAAAGATTAATTCGTTTTATTTTCGAATGGTCGTCATAATTGTTGGCCACAACCAGGTCTATGGGCAAAGGTACTCTTAAAAAGGGGGTGGGTGGGCTTATATGTATATAAAATCATTTAAAAAAAAAAAAACAAACTGAACAAGCCAGAATAAACAAAACTTATCTAAATACATTCTTTTGACTACAGATTTAAAATTATTTACACTCTTTTACTACAACGCAAGGAATACATCTTTGAAATATGAAAGCCATAGCGCCCTAGCCACTCAAAAGTTATTGCCTAAGTTAAAAGTTTTAATTTGCGGACAAACAGACAGATAGACGGACAGACAGGGTAAAAACTATACACCCGAATCTTTGACTTTTCTTATTGTATTAAAGGAATCTGATACTGAAGAGTACGGGATGTTCTGACACAAAATTCATATCCGAAGACAAACTGTGCATCTACTGGTACTAAAGTTTGTGTTATATACCGGTATGTGCACAATTATGCATTATCTTGTATGTCAACACAAATAAAATGCATGTCCATATGGATAAGTTAATTGCAAGTTCATGCAGACAAAGTGCTTGTCAACATATTTATTTAGCATGTCAAAATAAAGTTGTATGTCAACAACTTGTAAACACAGTATGTTGCATCTAATATTTTGGAAGTCATGTATGGGCAAACTAATTTTGGACAAGTTTTCTCTTTTTTTCTATTGATTATATTTATCTTGCATGCCAAACTAGGTATGTTTCATGATGACACATTTTTGTTGTATGTACACATTATTTTCTAATATTTTCTAGAAAAATATCTTGCAAAGAAGGGACAGAAAAATATACTATTATATCCCTCCGTATTTCGTTCGTCTGAATATAAATTTATTATCTCTTTATACTTATGAATAAGATTGAAAGAATAACAAACTATAATTAATTTATATATGTATGTGCAGGCACGGAGCAACAGCAACTTTTTTTCAAGCATAACTTCTACTATTGAAATATTCATTGAAAGAGTGCCCCCCCCTTTGGCTAAAGTAAAGTGATATAAGGGTGATGTAGCAATTGTATGAAAAAATTTCGATACTGAAAGAAGTTTGTGGTGAAAAAAGTTTCCAGTCCTAATCCTACTTTCTGTACGAGCGGTAGAGTGACTGTTTAAGCACGCACCTCTGGTACAGATCTACCACTCTGTCCATACAGAAAATACTCATATGGACAATAATAGATAACCATAGACGTTTTTTAAACTCCGCACAAGTGCTTAAATTAAAAAAAAAAAAAACTAACAAATTGGTACACTCATTAACGAAGTTACCCCCCCCCCCCGGCCATCTCCGTACACTTCTATGATTTGCTTCCAAGTGGTTTTCAAATGACTCATGAAATCGGTTTGGGGATAAATTCAATATAGATCTAGACCTACTTATAAAATATTTGCATACTTCCTCCCTATTCTTTTACATTTTTATTTTTGAAGTTAATTGACATTGATATAACGAATTTATCCTCACTACTACCATATTACCAAATTTAAATTACGATGCTTTGCCTGTTTTATGAACTTAGAATGAATAGTTTGTAAGTTTTATGAACTTAGAATGAATAGTTTGCAATTGTACAAACATGTATATTGTACGAACTGATTTATGTATATACGTTAAACCTGTATGGTTCTTGGTAATAAACAATACAATACCCCTTTCCTTTATTTTCACATTGTTTATTTGAATTCTTTGTTCCCGTCGGACGGTCCTCTTTTTCTTTCCGTTCGAAGTTTACAGGGATGCTGAGTTCATGATGATATTTTTTAAAAGTAAGAAGTGTTTTAGATTAGTTGAGTTTAGTTTAATACTGAGCTCTATGGATAAAGGCGTGTCTCCAAAAACTTTGTCTCCAACATGTCCAACCCCTCATTATATTTCAAAGAATTAAAAATTTGCTCTTTTTTAAGTTTGCAATATATAATACAGTAATTATTAAAAACAATTTACCCTCTCTCTCTCTCTCTCTCTCTCTCTCTTTCTCTCTCTCTCTCTCCACAGTTTTCATGCTCTGTCGACCAGAATGATCACGTGACCTGACCCTTGATGAGAATTCACCACACTGATATTTGATTTCCATCGAATAGCAGTGTTTTCGCATTGCTCTTGCAAAGCCTTCCAAACGATCTATCAAAGCGTTCTTTCATCACCAAAGATACAGAAGAAGACTACATCAGACTGAGGTAAGTTCATTTTTGTTGTATTTGTTTGTTTGTTTTTTTTTTTTTTACTTTATACGTTTTTGTTGAAAACCTGAACATCGGTGAGTACTCGTTCTTGCCGCCATTTCAGGTCACTAGATTGGTATATGAAATATCTGTTTACATTGTTAAATATTTGTAAGTTTGTTATTTATACAGTTTAAATAAAGGTGCAATTATAGCGGGAAATGTTCATAATTTTGACTGCGCATGCCCATGGGGCCTGGGGGATATGAACTTATGAAGATTATCGTGGAAAAGGATGGGGGCAAGAAAAAAAAATAGAGAAAACTTTCTTGATAAAAAGTAAAAAACAACAGTAATTCTACAGAAAAATAAACATATGAATAAATAAAAGAGGCCTATGTACCACAATGCTTATCTGTGTACTTTGATCCTGCTGTTCTTCAACAGACCCCCCCCCCCTCTTTTGGCCCTATCTTACATGTACCCCTTGGAGCCATGATTTCAACAATTTAGAATCTAAACTACCCCAGGATGCTACTCCATAAGTTACATCTTTTCTGTCCCAGTGGTTCTAGAGAAGAAAAATTTTATGCCCATGCAGCCATGAAATGACCAGGGCATACAGAGTTTGTCATTGGGTGCGTTCACAGTTCTGTCGTTGGTAGACAAAAGTTGCCTTTTGTAAAATTAATTACCATTGGCATGCCACTGGTACCAATGTTTTTTGCCAATGGTATATTTTTCTGCAGACAGTCTAGAGTGTGGTTAATGTTGGTAAATGACGTCACAGCTAGTTATCGACATGGCAACAAGCTAGAAAGACTTGGATCCCGGGTTCACAATGATATTAAAGATTTTTCCTCCAAGCCTTTTTAACAAATCATGCCAAAATCACATAAAAATCATATCAAACACTTAAATTCACGTTTTTAAAGTACGATTTAGACATGATCAATTAAATGGATTATATTTAACTCATAGATATTGCAACTAAAGAAGTGTGATCCTGATGTGGTTTGTTTCTCGGCTATGAGGCTGCTATGATTTTCTTGCGATTCTGGTATGTGCCAATAACTTAGAAGACAAAGAAATCTGCAATTCAGTATTACCAATGTTTCCATTGGACTCCCATTGGTAACATTGGTAAAATCGTAACATTTGTATGCCAATATCCGTTCAGGGTTTATTGGTACAGTTGGTACCATTGTCAAATTATTGCACCAATGGTATATTGAGAGTTGGTACTAATGGTAGAACTGTGAACGCACCCATTGTCTTCTGTCCCTCTGTCTGTCCTTCCTTGTCCTTTGTGTTTAGCTTATTTCAAAGCTTAGTTTCAAAGAAACTATTCAAAATATTTTTATCATGCTTCCTATGCTGATAGATACTTAATAGAACTACTCAACTGAATCAATATTTTGACCTTGACATTTTATTTGACCTTGACCTCTTTTTTCTTAAACTAGTGTTTAGTTCAGTTTTTTAAAGAAACAATTCAAGGTTGTGTAATCCAACTTTAAATCCTGGTGCATACTGATGTAAATTTGCAACTGTATCAACATTTTTTTACCTTGACCTTTCCTTTTACCTTGACCTCACTATTCTCAAATTAGTGTTTAGTTCAGCTTTAAAGAAGCAATTCAAATTAGTGCTTTTCCTTTGACCCTACTTTTCTTATTTTTTTTTTAAATCTCAGTTTTCAAAAAAAAAAAAAAACATTCATGAAATCCTTTTTTCCACAAAAAAAGACATCATCAATATGGCATTAATATTTTTTAATGTGAACAATTTAGAATCTGTACTATACTACTGTAAAAGCAAAAATATGGGGGGAATAAATTTCGATTATTTCATTGTTAACAATTATCAATGAAATTAAATCCCATACGAAATTTTATATATACGAGGGTTGATCCAAAAGTTCATGGAATTTCTTCATATTTTATTTATTTATAGGTGAAAACGGTTGAAAATTACAAATGAGAATATATAGACACTTTTTGAATATTTTTAATAAAAAAAAGTTTCAAATATTTATGATAGTAACTCTATGGCAGTTGCCATAGAAACGGTTGTTTGGGAATGCGGGGGAGACATTAATGCGTTTATCATCATTTTAATTCTTAATATGCAAAATGAGAATACAACGGCCCTATGTGGTATATAAAATGAAAATTATGTCATTATTACGATTGCTTGATCTTTTATAAACCTTTGTGTGAGAGTTTTACTGATTTACTGTATATTTATAGTTTATTAGTTGATGATTTATTATTCATCTTTAAGCTGTTAGACAAAGTCAAATTTCGGTCAAGTGAAAAGTTTTGTGAAAATCCCGGGATCACTCTATCTGAAATGCATATATTACTGACATTAGCTGGGGGAAAATGCTTTAATTAAGTTAATTACTAGTTTTTCAGTGGCCTTAGAAATTTAAGAAAAATAGAACTTCCATAGACGTTGATTAAAGGTGTGCATGGCTACCTTTTGGAGGCTTTGTTTTAAGTGTTTATCTCCCTAGACAAATGAAAAGTGTTAATGGAAGTGTCAGCTGACAAACTGTTCTTGACATTGCTACTAATTTTGGAACGTACGCGTACATCATATGGCAAGGCGAGGAGTATTTTGAAATATGAGGCCATTCCAAGTTTTTTCTATGTTTAGCGTCCGCGTGTGCCTTGGTTTTTGACGCCCCTTATGAGAAACAACAGACAATAACAGAAGTCCTGAAATTGATCAATTCAATTGAAATTTTTGAATTTTGCTAATTTCTTCAAGTAATTCTGTACAGTAATTAAGTTAATCTATTGGGTGTATTGTACGCATTTAATCCGTTGTTTTTGCTTACGAATTAATAGACATTTCTTCTATTAAAGCAGTTTAGTTAGATCAAATCATTTGAAGGACATCATTTTTATGACTTTTAAGCTTATGTTTTATGTTTTGGCTTGTGTGTTTTTTGCGAATAGGTAGGTATAGTTTTTGAAAGAAGAGTGGACGCTAAACAGAGAAAAAACTTGGAATGGCCTGAGTGATAAAATGAAGAAAATTTGGTGCGAGAAGATACCCAGGCTTTTCTTGAGAAAAAAAATGGTGAAGAGGGCAGCATTTTTATACATATACATGTATTTAGTATCTAACATTAGGGTGAGATGCTTCTATAACGTGATGTGACATATCTAGCTTGACGTTACGTCGAAGTCTCCCCCGGGTTTCACAGCTATCCATTTTCAGAAGGCTCGTGTAACCTTATTGGTAATTGGAATGCGGTGAAAATTTCCAATATTGTTGCATTATGACTCTATATTATAAATATGCATGTTGTTTGCTTTCATCAAATCGCAATAAAATTTGGTTTGCCATAGATATCCACATATTTTTTCTGTCCCTAGTGGTTCTTAAGGAGATTTTCAAAGATTTCAATGTATATAAAATTTGATTCCCTAGCTATATTGTATCGTAAGGCGAAAATTAAGTCACAGGACACATGTTGGTGGTTAGATTTAGGTATCCGTGGTATGTTTGGTTTAAAAATCAAGGAAAAGTATGGTAATTATGCACTAAATGTATACCTGTAGCCACTGTGATTATTATATATCAAGTAGATGGCTCGATCTGCATACATGACGTGATTTACAAATGACGTCATAATACAGGTGAATCTCGATCTCTCGAAGTTCAAGGGACCGCAAAAAAAGTTCGAGAGATCGAGGGGTTCGAGAGATAGAATGTTAACAAAATCCGGAATTTTCCGTTCCGATCATCGATGTTCTACTATTATAGATACCGGAAGTATATGTAAATAAAGTTATTGCACGTTTTCAATCGTATTTTACAGGTAATATACTTGTTATCTACAACACTGATCGTATTTCGAATAAATATAACGAATTCCTGAAGTTTCAATATTTATTTGTTCTTATTTCATGATAACATGAAACCCGAATACAAGCAATTGTCGGTTTGGCTATTCCGCGGCTTGATTGGGTCATTCACCAGTGTTCAACAGATTTTTCTTAATCGGTATTCAGTCCTTGAGAAAGGAATTTCTTGTGCAATATTTGCCATACTGGGATTATGTAGACACTAATAAAAGTTCATAGTCTATGGGAATTCATTGAAACGAACGTCTATCAATTTATTTTTTTCTAAAAAATGTCATCTCGGTTTCAAGTCAAAATAAGTTCTGAGTTCGTTTATAATTTACCAATAATAACCAATGAATTATATCAATACACGGACGACCCACAGGTGTAGTGTCATCTATGTAAACACCCAATTAACACCTCCACGCCAGCCCAGGCGTTAACTGTTTTTCCAGGTAAGTCCAGGCTCAATTTCACGCTTGATCGGCGTGTATACATGCGCAATCAAAACTTCGAGAGATAGAGAGTAAAATTCAATGAAATATGTGTAACGGGACCCAGGTTTTGGTTCGAGAGATAGAGAACTTCGAGAAATAGAAGTTCGAGAGATCAGGAGTAAATTTGCTTAGTTATATAGAGGAAAAAAACGGGACCGGAGGTTAACTTCGAGAGATCGAGAACTTCGAGAGATCGGAGTTCGAGCCATCGAGAGTCACCTGTAGTCTTACTGAAAAGTCTTTTTGTAGAAATAAAATTTTAAGGAGGCTCATTACACCACTTTTTGATGACGTACTACACAAAAAAATAAACCTCCATTGTTTCGACCGTTTCCCTCTGGGGACGATTTGTACAGGTACCTCTATAATATGACCCTGACCTTTAAAGCGCTTTAAAAATAGATGAAACAAGCGGTGTTATAAACAGTGAAAACAAAGTAACGGATTCATTATGCATGGACAAAGAAGGATTGCTTTTAAGCAGAAACAAAAGAAATCAACAGCCAAATATTCGCCAAACAAGTATTGTGCAATTTCATAGCGATGCATGCAGTGAGCTATATATCAATGACATGTTAATTTGCATGGAGGAAATTCGAGTTTAAATCTACAACCTTACTGAAATTAAAAAAGTTATTTACTTGCACTATTTACTGTGTTGGTGTTAATTTATATATTTGCTTTATTGATTTAAATATATACTCTGGCAATTTAAAGCTTTTTTCTGAATTTTAGATGTAATGTACAAACGTTCCTTTACTTCCTTAGTGTTTTGGGTCTTGGCTTATTAGGAAAGATAACTCTTGAAAGCGGACTTTTTATACCAAATATTTTTTAAATTGGCATTTTCATTTCGTTTAAACATTTTTCATTCAATTTGTCACATTTAATTCATTGAAATACATTCCTTGTCTCTTCAGAACTCATTTTCTTCATGTTTTGTGCACAGATTAAAAAGATAATGATATTGTTTTTTAGGAGAAAATTATTTTTTCTAATAAAATTAATATTAGGTATTATGAGATATTTTCACTGTTTCTACTTGTCTTAAGAAGATGCCCATCATTTGACACTGAAAGTTCTGAAATTCTGGTAACAATAAACTTGAAATAAAACATTTCACTAAAATTAGACAAAAGCTAAAAAATTCTCTAAAAAATATTTATGATATCAATACCTCGTTCTGGATATTTGACATCTACATAATAAGTGGTGCTGTAATGAAATCTAAAATAAACTGTGGATGTAATGAGCCACCTTAATTCGCATTAGTTTACTTCGCTCTAGCTGTCATGTGAACGCAATTTAATTCGCGTTATTTTAATTCGCATTAGTTTACTTCGCATTAATTTACTGCGAATTAAACTCTCCGTGTGAACAGGGCATAAGAAAAGAAGAGTAATCTTGAAAATTGCAATCAAAATTGCCCTCTGAGCATTAATTGACTTAAAATACTGCTACAGAAAGTGAGGAAGGGAAGTAACCAGCTTTTTCAAATACATGTTTAACAGCTAGTAAATGGTTATGCTTAGAAAAAAAGGTGTGTCTGACAAACATCATATACTGATACATATATATTGTCAAATTGATGATAATATAGCCATGTGCACTCAACAATAATATTTTTTGATCTCGACCTTTCTTTTTACCTGATATTGATATAATTAACTTTTCTTATGCATATAGCTGTTCAAAAGGAGACTTTAAATTACAGCCTTTACTTCAGTCAAATATCTTTTACAACTTTTTTGAAAGAGCTCCAATTTTTGTATATACATTTTCAAAGTATTTAAAGTTCATTTTATGGTAACTGTAATCATACTGTGTAAAGTAAAGATCTATAGTCATGATATGGATTTTATGTGTAATATATATAGGCTCTGCACCTCAAGCTTCAGAAACCAGTTAAGGGACAACAGGATTCTTTGAAATGTAGGTCAAAGGTCAAGTTAACAATGCTGCAAAAAAAGGTTACTTAACGTTCATGACATTGCTATATCTGTGTTCTTTCACTAAAAGTGTGGAGTCAAGGGTAAAACTTTGTATATACATGTATAAGTTTGATGTTGCAATATATATATACATGTGGTATTAGTATAGGTTAAATCATAGATGCCGAGTAGTATTGTTTATATCGTTTTCGTGGGGCGTGGAAATCGATGGAGCTCCGCTCCCTCGATTTCCACGCCCCATGAAAACAATATAATCAATAGTATGAGGCAAACTATGATATAAGCAACTTGTTGCATGTCTGATGACATAGATTTCATTCAGAGTGTCAAAATTCAATAAAAAAGTGTTGACATGATTTCTGCCTCCTGCAGGGATATATGAAGGAGCGTGGAAAGTATTATATATAGCATATGTGATATGGGATATATCACCACAGAAAGATCAAAGAAAATCACCTCAGATATGCAACAAGACAGGCTTATAATGAGTCCAAGTACTAAGGCAGATTTCCCTTCATTATAAATGTATAAGGCTTCATTGTAGCCTTAAGTTGAACAAGCAAATTCAAGGAATTGTGGTCCCCCGCTTTCGGTGTCTTTGTGGGTACGGAGATGTCATTTTTTATGACATATTGTGTGTAATATGAACACCCTATCATATGTCATTTATTTAGAAATTATCACTGAACTTCAAGGTCAAGGTCAAAGAGTTAAAGTTTTTTGGTACCCAATGAAAAGTCTTCTCACAAAGATTACATATGTGAAGTATGAGAGCCCTAGCCCTTACCATTCAAAAGTTATGGCCAAGGTTAAAGTTTTTTATAAGTACAAAAAATCTGAAAGGTCAAGGTCAAAAGGTCAAGGTTGTTGATATCAAATGAAAGGTCTTGCCACAAAGAATACATGTGTGAAATATGAAAGTCCTAGTATCTACTGTTCAAGAGTTGTGGCCAAGGTAAAATTTTTTGAAAAGTAGGTCAAATTCAAAGGTCAAGGTCAAAGGGTCAAAGTTCTTGGTATGCAATGAAAGGTCTCACGAGAATTACAAGAAGTATGAAAGCCCCAGCCCTTACCTTACAAAAGTTATGGTCAAGGTTAAAGTTTTTTCATAAGTACGGAAATCTCCATGGTCAAGGTCAAAAGGTCAAAGTTGTTGGTATCCAATGAAAGGTCTTATCACAAAGAATATATGTGTGAAATATGAAAGTCCTAGTATCTTCCATTCAAAAGTTAAGGCCAAAGTAAAAGTCTGGAATTTTTTTGTAAAAGTGGGTCAAACTCCAAGGTCAAGGTCAAAAGGTCAAATTTGGTGGTACCCAAGAAAAGGTCATATCACAAGGAATACACATGTGAAATATGAAAGTGATAGCTTCACTAAATCAAAAGTTATGGGCAAGGTTAAATTTTTGTGATGGACAGACAAATGAGATTTAATGTCCCCTTGCTTTCGTGAAAGCGGGGGACAAAAAAAAACATTTCAAAGCAGTGGGGAATAAGAACTTGTAAACATCAATTCATTGTTTTTACCGTATAAGCAGAATTTTTAGCGAGGATTTAATTTTGGCATGTTATTAGCGAGGGTGCCAAGATCGCTAAAATTGAATATCACTAATAATAAAAATTGATTGCTCTTTAATTGTAATAGCTTCTTTAGTGATTTTTTTTTAAATTGCTAAAATTCAACTCGCTAAAAATAAAATACCAATTTTTAAGGACAAATTGCTAAACTTTACGGTAATAACCAATATTTGCCCCCCAAATCAAACTATGACAGAGAAATATTTAATTACAATGAAGCGCATTGAAGTGGTAAAATTTTCTGTTTGACTGGAACGTTTTGAGCTATCTTTAGAATGATGATTGTCATACAATGACACGCCCATTTCTTTAGAAAAGAAAAATCGGTTAAATGGTTCACTGGAATACCCGTAGAACAGGTATTCTAAAAATAAAATAGCCAATCAAATTGACGGTCTACATAAACACAGAGCAAGCACGTGTTCGACCGATATATGTGTTATGGTAACTCCAATAAACATGATAAATTCATAATTATGGACAAATTCGTTGCAATACGTGTTTTACAGAAGCGGTACTCTCTAACTCTCTTTCTTATAACTTATATAAATCTCAGTTTTGGTGTAACTCATGTTGCTTGTTGCGAAGAATGGTGCGTTATAAACATTAAGACGAATATTTCTTTTTCGTTCCTAAAGAAATGGGCGTGTCATTATGTTATAATTGACGTTGAAAATATGACTCAGAAAGTTTCATCCAAACGGAAAATTTTACCACTTCAATGCGCTTCATTGTATGTTCTTAAACAGGGGAATATATGCTGACTTCAAAGTACTGAATATTTTCATATAAGCAATGACGTCATATATTTGAAATGATGTCACGAAAATGACTTAAATTTAAAATTTCCATGATTTCTACACAAAAATGTATTTGTCAATATTTTGAGTAAAAGTCACAGTGCGCAGGTCTGATCAGACTCAATATTTTGATATAATTTGTAGAATGATAATATTGATGAAATATGTAAATATTGTTCCTGAGCAAACTTGCGCTCTATAAATGTTAAAGCTAAAATTGTTGAATTTTTGTCCATTTTGTCGTCATTCTAAAAAATGGCATAAAATCAGACTAGTTTGTGACGTCATAAAAACAAAAAAATTGTCAATAAACTACTAGGAAACTATAGTATGTTCTGTTAATTTATATTTCTCATAAAATTTATAGAATTCAGCACATTTCACGAATTTTTCTAAATTTGACTTTCGTAGGGGCAAAGATATTCAATATACCCCATATAGTTCTTTGTATCTCGCTAAAATTTCCACTTATTTTAATATATGGTAGTTTGCAATAAGGTAAATTGTTTTACTGTATTTTGAAATTCAATGAAGTTAACTTTGATTTGTAATAAAGTTTTTTTTTATTATTATAGAATGGAGCCTAGACGATCTACACGAGTTCGACAGCGCCCCCGGTGGTTCACCGACTACGTCGTGGACTTTCCTGTAAGTCATAAAAGATTCACTTGTAACAAATTTTATAAGAAAGGAAGGAGAAAGATAGAGGCTGGGATAAAACTGCTCTTTGATTTACATCTCCCTCTCTGAAAAAAATTACTTTAAACTTTTTATAGCAAGATAGAATTTTGTGATAATTACACTCTCTTTCGACTGTACTATACAAATTTTGGACCACTTGGTGAAGTGGTCTCATGATTGACAGCAGGACCCTATTTTTATTCTACTGAGAGAAGTTGTCTCCCTTTACTCTTCACCTACTGTAGATAATGTAGATAATGTCATTGCAAGTTCAACTGAATAAAAGAAATTCAAAAGAATTTGTGTAATGTATGAGGGTTTTTAGAAAAACTTGTAGACACATTAATTAAGGGAAAATTAATTGTGTACTTTGAAGAATGATGTACATGTATGTCCGATTAGGCCATAATAAAAAATTCCTAGATTCTCATCCAAATTTTTTTAAAAATCAAGGCGGGCAGGCGGCTTTTATTTTATATTTTTCTATTTTAGCATATTTTTTATTGACCTGGTCAATTGGTGTAGATTTATCTATAATTCCTGAATAAAAGTCATAGTAGAGGTCCATTTATCTCTTACGTACTTCACATCATCACCAATCTTTCACAACCGATGACCCTTGTTTAATATATATTGCAGCAATAACTGTCTTTTTAACTGTCAAAATAAATCAGGGTGGGCGGGGATGAGAATCTAGGAATATTTTTATTGTGCAAGCCCTAAAATATAGGGAGAATTACTTGACTAACTACCGGTATGTTACTGAAAACAAGACAACCTGATTGCACCATTTTCACACTTCTAAATATCTCTCAGATCTAGATTTTCTGTCTTTTTTAAAAAATTAAATACGTATTGTATTGCATGTCGTAAACTTTTCACATTTTCATCTTCTTCTTATTTCAACCAAACTTGGTACAAAGTATCCTTGGGTATATTTATTTTCAAAAAATGTCCTTTTCCAAGGGGAGATAATCATGAATTTGTTAAAAATTAATGCATTTTTAAAAAATCTTCTTCTCCAGAACCGCTGGGCCAGGAAAGATGAAACTCATGTGGAATCATCCTCAGGTAGTGAGGATTAAAGTTTGTTCAAATCATGACCCCCGGGGCAAGGGTGGGGCCAAAATGGACCCAATACGTAGGAATTATAGGAAAAATCTCAAGACACCACTGGGCCAGGAAAGATGAAACTCGTTAAGGCTCAGGTAGTGTAGATTCAAATTTGTTCAAATTTTGGTTAAATAAGGCCGCAAGTTTTACATAGGAATATATTGGAATGGACTACCACTAAAAATGAAACTCATGTAGTAGATTCAAGCTTGTTCAAATCATGACCCCGGGGCAACTGGGGCCAAAATGGCCGACCCAAGTTTTACATAGGAATATATTGGAAAAATCTTTAAAAATCTTCTTCTCCAGAACCACTGGTCCAGGAAAGATGAAACTCATGTGGAATCATCCTCAGGTAGTGTAGATTCAATTTTGTTCAAATGATGACCCCCGGGGCAAGGGCGGGGCCAAAATGGCCGACCCAAGTTTTACATAAATATAGGAAAAATCTTTTAAAATCTTCTACTCCAGAACCACATGGCCAGGAAAGATGAAACTCTTGTGAAATCATCCTCAGGTAGTGTAGATTCAAGTTTGTTCAAATGATGACCCCCGGGGCAAGGGTGGGGCCAAAATGGCTGACCCAAGTTTTACATAGTAATATATAGGAAAAATCTTTAAAAATCTTTTTCACCAGAACCACTTCCAGGAAAGATTTTGAATCATCCTCAAGTAGTGTAGATTGAAATTTGTTCAAATCATGACCCCCGGGGCAAGGGTGGGGCCAAAATGGCCGACCCAAGTTTTACATAGGAATATATGAGAAAAATCTTTAAAAATCTTCTTCTCAAGAACCACTAGGCCAGGAAAGATGAAACTCATGTGGAATCACAGGTAGTGTAGATTCAAATATGAATGATGACCCCCGGGGCAAGGGTGGGGCCAAAATGGCCACCCAAGTTTTACATTATATAAAGGAATTCTTTAAAAATCTTCTCCAGAACCACTGGTCCAGGAAAGATAAAATGTGGAATCATCCTCAGGTAGTGTAGATTCAAGTTTGTTCAAATGATTGGGGCCAAAATGGCCGAGTTTTACATAGGAATATAAAGGGAAATATCTTTAAAAATCCTTCTCCAGAACCACTGGGTCAGGAAAGATGAAACTCATGTGGAATCATCCTCAGGTAGTGTAGATTCAAATTTGTTCAAATCATGACCCCCAGGGCTTGAGGCCAAAATGCGTACCAAGTTTTACATAGGGATATATAGGGAAACCTTTTAAAATCTTCTTTTCAAGTACTTCAAAGCTATGATTAGTGATATTTATATGGAATCATCCTCAGGTAGTGTAGATTCTAGTTTTTCAAACTAAATTCAAGCCCGATGTGCTCAGGTGAGCGCTGTGGCCCCTGGGCCTCTTGTTTTAAAATTAAATGCATTGTATTGCATGAATTTAGAAAGACATTATTTATTTTAAAAATGTCTTTTGTGGCGCATTGAATATTTGTGAGATCTAGACTCTCTACACCCTAGATGCAACATTTAGGCAATTTTGGTCTAATAAGGCTTGCAGTTACTTTGGAATGGACTAATCTAAAAACCTCAAACTACCTGGTAGTTACTCATCCAGAAAATGTCATTAAAATCTCAAAAATATTTATCATTTCTATTGTAGGTTTTGATGTGATCTTTTTTTTTTCTTTTAGGTGCGAAAGTCCAGGGTGAAGCCGATGTTGAAGGCTGATGATGTTCCTCAGCAGCCTGAGAAGGTGGCAGTGCTGCCTCTTCCTGAGCCTTTACAGGAGCTGCCTGTGGAGAGGCTAAGGCAGGCTGAAGAGGTGACTGTGTCATCTCCTCAACCTGTGATGGCCAATCCAGAGGTAGAGCTTGTTCAGCTTGAGGAAGAGTGTCTGCCATCCCCTGAGCCTGTCATAGCCCTTCCTTGGCCAGAATTTGACCAGACTGTGGAGATGGCACTGCCATCACCTCAGCCTGCTCAGGTTCTAGTTGAGGAGGAGGCTGGACAGACTGAGGAGGTGGAACTACCGTCTCCTCAGGTTGTTGTTGAGCATCCTCGGCTTTCTAGCGTTGGGTCACCAGTGGCAGAGATCCCTCCTGAGCAGCCATCACCTGTGAGGCAGCCATCACCGCAGCCATCACCTGTGAGGCAGCCATCACCTATGAGGGACCCTCTGAGGCGAGGCTTTGCAGCGTTAGGAGAAGGGGTGGTGTGGCATTTGTTTAGGAATGTGGAGGCCACTTTAGTAGGTGGTATTATTTTCCCTATTTTCTCTTCTCTAATTTAAATCCCCCTTTTCTCTAAGTTTCTTGTGAATATAAAACTAAAGTTTAAATAGGATTAATTTATCTCTAAATTTCCTAAATTTTGTTACTATAAATGTAAACATTCATCCCCTTTCAGTTCAATTTCTATAGGATAAAACTTGAATAAAACTTAATTACTTAATATATTGTTAGATAATTAAGTCATATTGTAATTTAATGCATCTAGGAATCTTGGTACACATAATAATTAAGGAATAAGTTAATCTGAATTTTGTAAATAACATAAATATAAACACTTTTTACAATTTTCTTTTGTTAAAAACCATATTAAGTAGAGTTTAAATAAGTTAAATAAATTTGTCCTTATTTTCTCATGGATACTTCGTCTAAATATCTCAATGCAAGCACACACCGTTATTTAGACGTTGTTATTCAAGAGAGTAATTAAGAGTAAATGTTAAGGTTTAATTTAGTACTGGTATATAAATAGGGATGAGGGCTTCAAATTCATTTCTCTATAAACTTTAATTCGAATCAAATCTAAAACTTATGTAAAAATATAAACAAATCTAAAATTAAAAAATAAGACTAAAAAAAATAATAAAAATTAAATGAGAGGTTAATTAAATTTTGAGTTTTCCTAAATTACAATAACTTGTGATTAAAGTTTAAATTTTTCTGCAACTAAAAAACTGATAGATGATAAGACCTTGACTGATAGAGTTACTAGGTTTAAATTAAACTTACAATTACTAAGTAGTTTGTTTAAAAATTTGCCTTAAGCAAAAATATTTAATTATTTAAGTGATAAGCTTGATTTTCACTAAAAGTATAGAAACTAGTGATTAGTTTGAAATTTTCCTGTAAATTAAGACATTTAATAAATAAAGTAAATATTAAAACTTATATTCTCTCCCCTTTTTCTTGTTTTCATTGATAAATATAGGTACATTAAATGTCCATTAGTTTCATTTTTTTAAATGGTAATTTAAAAATAATGTAAATAATTAAAATTATCTAAATTTTCTTAAAATATAAAAGTAAATATCAAAACTTATATTCATTTCAAGACTAAGTCTCCCCTCTTTCTTGTTAAATAGTTGATAAATAGGGTTAATTTCCCATTAATTTCAATATTTCAGAGGGTAAACATAAAGTTATTAATAATTAAAATCATTTAAATTTGCTTGAAAGATAAAAGTAAATAACAAAGCTTATATTGATTTTAAGATTAAGCCCCCCCCTTTCTTATTTTCATTGATAAATAGGGTTAAATTTCCATTAATTAAAATTTTTCAGATGGTAAAGTTATTAAAATTATTCAAATCTTCTTAAAAGTTAAATTAAAATTCTTTAAATATTATAAAGAGGTAAAATCTGTTCTCATTCCAAAGAAGGTACGTTCTTTTCTGTTTTCATTACTAACTGTGTGTGCATGATGGGTTCAATTTTTTTGTGTGGACATTTTGTAATTTGTTATTTTGTACTGTATATTCATTTTATGTATATCCCCTGTTAATCTAAGTATTTTGTTGGTTTATTAAGTAGGACTTGTGATCTTGTAATTGTGAAAATAATTAGATTAAAATTTCATATTTCTTAAATGCATGCAGTATTCTGATTTTTCCTCTCCTTATTTCAGTTCCTTAATTTTTTAGATTTGATATCTATAATTAATTAAGATAAAAATAAGGCCCCTTTTCTCTATCGCGAATTTCTCATGAAGGCTAGTGGCTAAATATCTCAACTCATGCACACACCGTTATTTAGCCACATGCATTCGTGAGAGTAATTAAAATCTTAGAATTATAAGTTATTTAAATCTAATTTCTAATTTTTACTCAATTTAATTTCTTCATTATATTTTCCATATATAATTTATAGTTTATAAAGTTTTCTTATCCCCAAGGTTCAGTTCAAATTTGAAACTTATTGTTTAAATGAGATAATTAATTATTTTTGTAAGATTTAAGTAATTATAAGTATTTTGTCATTGTTTAAATATAAACAGGTTTCAGTTTCCCTCTCTTTACTGTTATCTATGATTTAAGTAAAGCTCAACGGAATTAAAAAAGTTCTTTTTTCTTTGTGTAAATAAGTCTATTAGACATCAATAATAAATTTCAGAAAATAAATTTCATAATTAAATATCCCTTATAGAATCTTTTTATTAGGAGTAAGGTTACTGTAAAAGTTAAATAAATTTAAATGTTAATGATTGCAGATGGGGTCCCATTTCTTTTCACTTTTGATTTAATTGTAGTTGATGTATTTTGTATTGAGTTAATTTTGATTATTTATGTAAAGATTGTCGCTGATAATTGTTTGCTAGACCATTGACATGCGCTTACTGATTCGAAATTTAGTGTCCATACTTTGCATAATGAATACTTCTTTACGCGTTGTTTTGTTCCTGTTTTCCCAAAATAGACACAATTCGTACTTTCAATTTGCTCACAGCATCGCGCTCGCTTGCCATGAATTTTCCATGAATTCTGACGCTTCATATCCTTGATCAATTTAAATCTACTGATTATAAGCGATGATCAATTCAGAAAATTTCCATATTGTTCAACACTTGTATTTATGTATTCCTGATGTGTAACATTATGATCACTGTGTCTGTCTGTGGAGTCTGAGTCCTTACCAATCCTTCATTTGATGCATTTGCTTATGTATATATGAACTGTAATTTCATGCTTTAGTGACTTTGGTTAATGAACTTAAATTTTGATTTATCTCAGCTTCTCACAAGCAATGATCAAACCAAATTTGTACTTGATGCTTCTATTGATGTTTTGATGCTGTATCTGACCTACATGTCTTGATTTATTGACTCAGATTATTTTCATTATTTAGATTAGTTACAAACTATTGATGCTGCATATGACCTACATTTCTTGCCTTACTTGCTCAGAGCTCAGAATATTTTCATTATTAGATTGGTTCCAAACTGATCTAGTTCTTTATCGTGTATCTTAGGATGTTGACTCTGATGCTTTGGATGCTACATATGACCATTATTTCTTGCTTTACTGGCTCAGAGCTCAGATTATTTTCATTATTTAGATTGGTTCCAAACTGATCTAGTTCTTTATCGTGTATCTTAGGATGCTGACTCTGATGCTTTGGATGCTACATATGCCCGTTATTTCTTGCTTTACTGGCTCAGAGCTCAGATTATTTTCATTATTTAGATTGGTTCCAAACTGATCTAGTTCTTTATTGTGTATATTTGGATGCTGACTCCAATGCTTACTTTCGATGCTGCACCTGACCTACATTTATAGCTTTACTGGCTCAGAGCTCAGATTATTTTCATTTTTTAGATTGGTTCCAAACTGATCTAGTTCTTTACCATGCTTCTTTGGATGCTGACTCTGATTCTTAAGTTGAATGCTGCACCTGACCTACATTTATAGCTTTACTGGCTCAGATTATTTTCATTATTTAGATTAGTTCTAAACTGATGCTGTATCTTAGGATTTGACTCTGATGCTTATTTTTTGCTATATGCCATTATTTCTTGTTTTTCTGGCTCAGAGCTCAGATTATTTTCATTATTTAGATTGGTTCCAAACTGATCTAGTTCTTTATCGTGTATCTTAGGATGTTGACTCTGATGCTTACGTTGGATGCTGCACCTGACCTACATTTTACACTTGTACAGTGTATTGCCTATTCCTGGCACAGCCTCCTGGACTGCTCTCATGCTACCTCTTACAATGTTGCATCTGCTGCATATACATTGAATACTATATTTAACCTACATTTCAGGTGTTATCAGGAGAAAGATAAGGTTTAGGTGCTTTTTTTTCTTTTTACATAAAAAGAATTCTCTATACATTGTTTGAATGTATGTACAGTGTTCTACAATTTTTGTATTTTTCATCTCTGTCAAGTGCATTTTTTGTATTTTGCATGTATTTGTTTTGTGTTCAATGTCTGATTTTCAATGTTTATTGTTTTCAATATAATGTTTGAATGTCCCATCTGCACACATGCATATTTATGTTTTTTTCGTCCACCACAACCTTCGCCTTGCCTCAGCAGCTCTGTCCAGACGTAGATGTAAAGTGAGTGGTTTTGTTTTCAATATTTGGGGCCTCGCTTTGATAATGATCAGTTTGTCCGTCTGTCTGATTTTGGTTACCAGAATATCTCCCCTTGGCTTAATCTGGTTCAAACTGCAGCTGCCTGCAATGAACCAGTTTTCTAAGTAAAAGGTCAAAGGAAAAAGCACATCTGCATGTAATCCTTATCTGGAGCATATTTTCTTTCATTAGCCCTTTCTGGCTTATGTTTCCCCTATATATAGTGTCAAGTGGTATAGGATGTGCAGTAACAAACAGCTTCTAGTTCAAAAGTCAAGGTCTTGTCATCTTCATCGATCATTAGTGAGCTTGAGCATATTTCTTTCCTCTGTGTAGAGTCCTTGAACTAAATGTGCATATTTTCTTTCATTTAGCCCTTTCTGGCTTCTGTTTCACCTATATATAGCGTTAATTGGTAAAGGATGTGCAGTAACGAACAGCTTCTAGGTCAAAAGTCAAGGTCTTATCATCTTTATCATTGTGAGCATATTTCTCTCCCCTCTGCTGATATATATATATATATATAGCATCAAGTGGTAAAGGATTTGCAGTAATGAACAGCTTCTAGGTCAGAAGTCAAGGTCTTGTCATCTTTATATGTTTGATATATATAGTGTCAAGTGGTAAAGGATTTGCAGTAATGAACAGCTTCTAGGTCAGAAGTCAAGGTCTTGTCATCTTTATCATTGTGAGCATATTTCTCTCCCCTCTGCAGAGTTCTTGAACTAAAGGTCAGCAGTAAACAACACTTATGTTTACCTTATAAAACCTCCCAGGGTTTATGGTTGGATATAATTTTTAACCTAAGGTTTGTGTTTTTTTAAACCACGCCTTAATGGCTCTATTCAGCCTATATTTACTCAGTAACCCATAGAACTCCAATATGTTAATAGTGTACTTTAGCTACAAACCAAGTCTTTGGTCAG